ACGGGAATGGTAAGGAATGCTTGGTCACTGGGTACAGTGATTCTGATTATGCAGCTGATGTGGATACCAGGAGGTCTGTGACTGGTTATGTGTTCACTTTGGGTGGTTCTGTGGTTAGTTGGAAGTCTACATTGCAGTCATCAGTTACGTTGTCAACTACTGAAGCTGAGTATATGGCTCTAACTTCTGCAGCTAAGGAGTCTATTTGGCTCAAAGGCCTAGTAGGTGAACTGGGTATTGCACAGGATTTTGCTACAGTATATTGTGATAGTCTAAGTGCGATTTGCTTAGCTAAAGATCAAGTACACCATGATCGGACGAAGCACATTGATGTCAGGTATCATTTCTTGCGTACTGACAAGAGGATTAAGGTGAAGAAGATTGGGACTGCTGACAACCCGGCTGATTTCTTCACTAAGCCTGTTCCGTTTAGCAAGTTTAAACATTGCTTAGACTTGTTAAATATTGATTACTACGTGATGTAGTAGGCCCTGAGGGGCGAAGTTGGGGAGCTCCTGGTGTAGGTGTGTTGGCCTTAAGGTGGAGCTTGCCCGGGGCTTGTGATGCAGGTGGAGCATTATGAGTTGTTATACTTGGAGACGAGTATGTGATGGGTCTTGGTTGAAGACTTATCGGGATGTATGGCTTATGCATGAGTCTTGCATCGGGTTTGGCTTGAGATGTTTTTCACTATGTCTTGATGGGGTCGTTTGCTGACTACGAGTTCTCGTCAAGGTGGAGATTGTTGATAAGTATATTAGGTGACTCGTACTTCGTAGCTTTGTCCGCCCGATCGGGCGGACATTGCCCGGTCTGACCGGGCGGAAGAAGAAGAGGTGCCTGGCAAATTCGTTGAAGAAGCTGCTCTCGCGCCCGACCGGGCGAGCCTTCGCCCGACCGGGCGAGCCTTCGCCCGATCGGGCAGACCTTGCCCGGTCTGACCGGGCGGTGGGGGTTGGATACGTTGAAGCATTCGTATGGAGTTTTCTTCTCGCGCCCGATCGGGCAGACCTTGCCCGGTCTGACCGGGCGGAGAAGGAAAAATACGGGACGCGGATTTTACGATTTAAAGTTATCTTTTATGTTATCTTTTTGCCCAAGTATCTTTTAATTAGGGATTAATATAAAACCTCCCTAATATCAGTATTAGGGTTAAGAGAGAGAGAGGGAGAGCCGTTCTTGAGAAATACAAGAATCATCTTTGTAATCTTTGCAGTTTATAGTGAAATCATTCGATCTCGGTGCCCGTGGACGTAGCTATCACATCGATAGTGAACCACGTAAATTCTTGGTGTTGTTCTTATTGTTTGCATTGAATTTCTTTATTGTTTTCTTGTTTGTTTTCGACCTTTGCTTCCGCTGTCGCACAACAGAGGAGTATATGGGGATCGAAATCTCTGGTGCTTCAGGGGCTTCTTTGAAGGGTGGGTAATGGTCTGAAAATTAGAGTGTGAGATTATCCTTGGCTAATTGACGAGGAGGGACATTTTGCCACAAGTGAGAAGAAGTATGATGAATGCACATATATGTGGCAGAGTTAATCTCTGATGACGAGAAAAGTTGGGACTTCTCAAAGGTGGAGCGTATTTTTAACAGCCGGGACAAGCAGCTGATACTTGCTACTCCAATCAGTGAAAGGCTACCTGTTGATGCTCCTACTTGGGCCTGGTCTAAACATAGCTGCTACGAGGTTAAAACTGCTTACCTCTTGGGCAAATTAGTTTGGCTCGAGAATTTTGAGAAGTATGCTCCCTTCCCACTCAAAGTCTGATCAATTACAGGCACTTAATTGATGACCTTAGGTGCCCTTGCTGTGGTTATGCCAATGAAACTACTATCCATGCTCTTATCTCTTGCCCCTCCACTTGTGTTTTCTGGGAAAGAGCTGGTTGTGCTGCTGCATTAAACTTGGGGGAAGCCACATCTTTTAGTGAAATTCTTCTACTGTGGGCTGAAAAATTCGATGAGATCTTGTTCCAAAAATACTTGTTTTTAGCTTGGTTTATGTGGAATAGATAAAACAAATGGGTGTTCGAGAATGTAAGCAAAGCTGAGGAGATAATCATTATGCTTCATAGCAGAATTGTGGCGGATTATAACCTCTATAATGAGAAAATCTATGGTGTTTCAAGTCGACCTCAGATGATCAGCAGAGGGGTCTGGGTTCCTCCCCCATCTGATGTCATTAAAATCAATGTTGATGCATCGACCAAGGACGAAGGGTGGATTGGTGTAGGGGCTGTAGCACGCAACAGCTTTGGCTAAGTCTTATTTGCAGCAGTGAGACGAGTGAAAGCAAGGTGGGATGCCCTTGTTGCAGAATGTAAGGCAACACTCTTTGGTTTACAGAAAGCAAGAGAATACGGTTTTGAGAACATTATCATTGAGTCAGACTCCCAATTGATGGTCTCCAAGCTCAAGAAGAATACCTTCAGCATGGCTACTATGGACAGCATTCTTAAAGACATTATTTGTTCTAGTTCTATCTTTACTTCTGTTTTTTGGTCTTATGTTAAGCGAGATGGTAACTTTGTTGTTCACCATCTTGCAAGATTAGTGTCGTTTGGCGTCGAACAATGTTGGGAAAACCATGCTCCTAGTGAGGTTTCCTCGTATGTACTTGTTGACACTCTCACTATGATATAATATGCTTCAACCGGCTTTCAAAAAAAAAAAAAAAAAAGTAAAATAATCATCCACTTGCCCCCAGTTGTACACTACTTTGTACTAAAATAAATAAGCTCTTATAAAACTTTAGTATGTAAATACAAGTGATACATTTAAAATAATGGGGGTACTTTGTATGTATTTATACAATAGTAAACGTGATTAAAAAAGTGTATCATTAATATATATAGAGGGAACGGATTAAGGCTCTTTTTTTTTTAGTTTCTGGACAAAGTACAACAGATTTCAGCAGAGCACAACAGGTAATAGCATATCAGAGCAATTCTAAAGAACATGGTCTAAGTGAATAGGTTGTAATAAGATGTATGAATATGACTAAATAATTTTTTTCTTTGGTTCTTGTACCAAAGTAAATTAATTAAAATTCCTTGGATTGTGGATTGGACCCCCATGTTAAAAAGTTGTATACCAAATGTTTGTACCCCGTGATATCAACAAGACAACAAGATTTTGGGTTAATCAATAATCATACAACAATTATTCCCGTGAATTAATGGTGTATTTTACCTGATTTTTAATTATGTGATCTTATCTTAACTTATCTGAACTTATTAAACCTTATTAAAACTTATTTTAGTTGTAATTTAAATTTGGGCATCACTTATAACTTATTAGACATGCAATAATTGAAAATAAAGTAAGCTAAACAGGCCAAATTTGGTTAATTTCTCCGATCCTACACTAATGAGAGTATAGCGAATCATGGATAATTACTCAATTTATGAGATTTTTATTTTTATTTTTTTGATAATCCAATTTATGAAGTTAACTTGTTACATTTACCTCCTCTTTTTAAAATAGGTAAGATAAATGACTCAATTAGACAAAACTACTCGTGAATCACTAGTGCCATGGACATGGAAGAAAGAGGTAAAACATCCAAAAAGGAACTTCATCAATCATAAATATAATCAATAGTGCCTTTATACATAATACATTTTAGCAAAAATAAATTAAGTAAAAGCTCGGTTAAAATAAATGGATCTTGCTAATGAGCGTCCTCTAAGCGTTAGATAATTACTTAGAATATTTCTTGAATGTTATAAATTTTGGAATGCATGTTAAATTCACGCGTTGATCGATGTAATTAATATTTGTTTTAATTTAATATTTCTATTTTAAGTTATCTTATTTAACGCGTCCGAAATAGTCGTTAGCTTTTTCCAAAATAAATTTAACTCTCAAAAAAAAAATCAGAAATACAATCTGAACTAAAGTACTTCCTTCGTTTTTTTTTAGTTGTAACAGTTTGTTTTTTACATTATTTATGTGTTCCACTTTGACTATATTTGGTGATTTATAACTATGAAAAATATAGTAATGTGGGATCTTGTTAGATTCGTCTCGATTTATACTATTTTAATATCAAATGTTTATAATTTTTACACATTATTAATTAAAGATATCACGATTAAAATCATGCATCGACAAGCGTGAAAAAAAAAAAGAAGTGTTGGCAACTATAAAGAAATAGAACGACGTAAATATTAAGAAAAGCACCTGTCCAATCCCTATACAATAATATGAGTACTGTATGAATATTTTATGTCGGTAATGGAGCTAAAGACTATTTCCAAAGGGAAGTGACTGTGTTGTGTTGGAATGTGGATAGAGTATTTTGAAGTTATTCAAATTGTATCAGCCTAATTTTTAAATATTTTTCTTGAGTTTAACTTATTTGAACACATTTAGGTCATGTTTGATAAATGGCTTTTTAATAGCTTTTTTATTAGCTTTTGGTTTTTGGTTTTTGGTTTTTTTTATGTGGTCAAACAGCCAAAAAAAGTGTTTGATAATTGGCTTTTCATTCAATGAAAAAGTTGGCTTTCAAGCCAAAATGAAAAAGCTGCTTTGAGTAGCTTTTTTTGTCGGCTTTTGGCTTGTTGGCCCACAAATTATTTAATAAACAACCAACAACCAACAACTAAATTTACCAAACATTCTTATAAACAGTCAGCTTAAACAACCAATTTAAAAAACCATTATAAACGGTCAAACATTTCAACTGGTCAAACAAGCCAAGTGAACCAACCAACAGCCATTTGCCAAACAAGGCCTTAAGCTAATTAATTTTAGTTATGAATAAAATCAAAATGAAGAATACACGCCCTTAGTGTATTCATATATAGCTCATGGTGTTACAAGTGTAATACTCCGTAGTAATAAGCGTAAGTATTATAACCATCACTAGAGTACGTAATCTTAATTTTTTGGTCATAAAAATGGCTTCAAGGTAATGTATTCATGGATCCATAAGTTAAGTTTAGATGAAGATTAATTGCAATAAGGCCGAATAATTTGATTCCACATAATAAAATTTAAAAGTCACAAATCTTGGCATTTTACACTTCGTAGGTTTATACAAGTAGACACTAGTACAATAAATAGTAATAAACTCTTCTACGAGTAACGAGTAATAAGGCCGAATAATTTGGTTCCACATAAATTCGAATCCGTTACCAAAATGTCAAAATTCACATGATCAGATTCTTTGTTCTTGTCTTTGTTCTCAAGTGTCTGCATCTCTTTTGATTTTCTTTTCTAACACGTTCTGGATGTTTGCACTTTACAGGAAATGTTGCAAACAAGCGATTTCCATACAGTACAAGAATTCATGACTTCATTATTACATGTAGAGATATACTCCGTTGTAACCGAATCGACGGTATTTTAGCAAGAAAAGGCACCGTAAAGTTCATGCATCGTGTTATGCTAAACCTTCTCAGGAAGGAGATACATCTTCGGGGTCATTCGTTCGTAGAAGTAATATAATACGTTGTTAAAACTTAAATACATAAGTCAATTTAACATGTAATTCTAATAGAATGTCTATTGGGGCAGCAGACTTGGTCGTTCCCAAACATGTAGACACTTGATGTTGTATACCGCAATATGGCTAGCGATTTTCCTATATACTTTGTATAACGAGTCAAAAGCAGGATCAATCTAATTCACTCTATGTTTGATGTCAAATCTATAATCTCCCATCAGCTCATGTCCATTGGCCGTTTATCAAGGCGATGACTCTGTTTTTTATTCCTTAGCTCTTCAATGTCAAAAAGGGTTTTCTTCCGAGATATTGCGCTTTCAATATACTCTTGTAGAGGGGGAAGGGATCCTTCTTTAGCGTCTGTAGAGGTGTTAATCTCTTTGTTCCGAATAACCTGTTGAAAGTAAGTTGAATTTCTTTTCGTTTATATCACATTTACAAACATCAACGAAGGTGCAAATTCGCCTTGAGGCAAAGAAGTAATTTAAGAAGAAGCAATAGAAGGGGGAAAAAGAAAACTTACCTTGGACGCCCAGCGACGCTCTGCCTGTTGACATACATCTCTGATATCCCGCCCAGACAAGCTGGTTATGAAAAGAATTAAATCAATAGAACATTCACAGCAACGAGCATCACTATAAACACAGTATTCATTCTTTTCATTTTAAAACACTTATTAAATTTGTTTTCGTTGTAAACTGGACTTGGGTAGAATTTATTAAAGTTAATGGCCCTTGTATCAACTTATTAAATTTTGTTCTGAAACTGGAGCTTTGAACTTTAAGGTGAAAGCAAACTTTAATTCAAAAATAAAAGGGAAGCAGCTAATGTTTACATTATGAAGAGAGATATAATGTGTACTGCATGGAGTATTAATTAATATCCACAAGAATATGACTATATATGCACATATTAATCTATAATTCCATGATCATTGAATCCATGACCACAGTTCAAGTCAGTGCAAAAACAGTTGAACTTTGCTTACCCCTCGGTAACTGAAGCAAACTCGTCAATTTCAGAATTAGCAAGGTGCTTTGCATACTGAGCTGCTATTTTCTGTCGATTCTGGTGATCAGGCAGACCAAAGAAAATCATCGAATCGAATCGGCTGAAAATAAAACAAAGAGATGGTTAGTTGAGGTCTTAAGACTCTTAACTCGCAAGTTTGAAAATGTAAATAAGAATTAGTAGCATATGCTGTACCTAATGAGAGCAGGATCAATATCTTGCTTTCTGTTTGTTGCAGCAATCACCACCACCTTCTTATCTTGTTCAAAACCATCAATCTGTACCAAAGAAGTTATTACAGAACTCTGGTCTCGGTCTTATGAGCAAGTATAACATAAACTTCTCGCTAATTGTAGTTTTTGAGAATCTTTGCAACACGGAAAGGCAGAAATTTGAAGTTAAAGATTTTTCAACTAGCACACACTAAATTTTTAATCCACAGTAGATTGTAGGTAATTTCTTGACAGGCTTAAGAAGCAAGATGTCATTGAGTGTCAATAGAAGGCTTGATTTGGACTGGGTTTGAGAGCAGATTCCTGGCTTGATTAGGCCAAAGTGGATGATCATGAGGTGTGGCTTGGTCTGAAAGTACTTTCAAGAACAACAAAGCTCAGAGGAGCTATGAGATGCACAATACACAAAGAGAGATGTCTAATTGGAGAGGACTAAGCAGCCGATAAAGGCAAAAGCGAGCAGAACATTCATTTAGTTCAGTTGGCCTTGAGATGCGAAATAATAAAGCAACTTTAAGTTTGAAGGAGATTTGAAACACATCATGCTGTTTTCATTCTCACTCCTCAAAAAATTATTTTTATACTAGTCAAAGTCCAGGTCCAGAGGCATGGTCAAAGTATTTAGCTAGCAACTAACATATGAACAATTTCAATCTTTCAACTCCTGCCATGTTGAAGACTGTTTTACCTGCCTCAATAACACCGATAAAATTCTTCGAGTAGCTTCATGTATTTCACTATCACGGGCAATAGCAAAAGAATCAACCTGCACGGATTCAAATACAGTCATGTTAGTAGATAATTGAGACCATATTTGAAGGAGCTGTCCATGCAATGCTAAATTAGCTGCAAAAAACTAAGTACATCCTCCATCCCAATATATTAAGCCACATTTCTATTTTAGATTGTCCCAAAATAATACCCCACTTTCTAAATTTTGACAAGTCAAATTTTGAACTTCCCAAATCAACCCTTCACGATACCCTTATAAGAGTTCCAAATACTTCGTTCATACTACCTTAGTATGATGAAGATGGAACTTTTAAGCATGGTGTCAAGTACCTCGTCCAAAAATATGATTGCACCATCTGGAAGCTCATTGGCAAGAGAGAAAACCTTCCCAAAGAGGCGCTCACTTTCACCATAGTACTTGGACATGACGACCTCCAATGGCACATAAAGAAGAGGAACCCCCTAGAAGGCACAGTAAAAGATAACTCAGTTGAAAATGATAACTTATAAGTCACATGAAAATACAAGGCGCCACTGCAACTCAGACCAAGATTTCATCACATAAGGTTATAATTCTAAGAAAAAACTTTCAGCAGAGTATATAAATTATTGCAATTCAACCAGAACGTCTACAATTGGATATTCAGAATCATAGTATTCAAACCTATGACATTATTTGTAAAAACCAAACTGCAAAGCAAGAGTGGTGCTACATAAACAGCTAGGTTACTCGATGCATTTCAATTCACCTCCAGTAACTATATTGAATCTTTGATACTAAACGTGGATATGGACACCTGACACTTCATTTTGGTCTTTCAGACCAACAACATGGGCTAACTGTCAGGTGCTTCATGATCTCATGCTCATATAAGCAGCCTAGTTTCTGATCCACAATAATCTATAAGCCCATTGACTAGAATTATATGCTGCATTCAACTGCAGGGCATAGATAATTCATTCTGTTTCTGAAAATCGAATAAACAAGATCAGTATGACTGAATGACACACAATTATGTATGCAATTAGAAAACCAGAACCACATATAGCATGAAACCACATTAGTAAACCAACAATATGTAGCATACATTCTTCAACAAACTGCATTCAGTTCCTTTTCTTTTTCTTTTTTCTTTTTAATAAACATGCACAAAATACAGTATCACAAGTAACAAGCTCGGTGACAATATAGGATTGCTTCTACATATCACATGTAAACAAAGACCGACTGGTCAAAGTACAGCTGGAAAGGTATGAGATAACATTTGTCCAAAAAAATAAAGGAGCAAATTTGACACTCATATTATATATGTAGTATATATCATTCTAGATGTAAAGTAACAAATCCATCAATTAAAAATCAATACAGAGAGTAAAGGCTTACCGCTTGATTAGCAATGACACGAGCACAAGATGTTTTCCCAGTACCTAAGCACAAAGTATATGCATGTCTTAATCTAACAGTCTCAAGATGGCTAATAAAGTCTATTATTTCCCTAGTAAATATTGCCATTTACAAGACAAAATGTGTTGACAACATAGTTTCAGTTATTTTAGAAGGAAAACCTGGAGGGCCTTCAAAAAGCACAGCTCGGGGTCTATTGGACTCATATTTTCGCCGAGTTCCACGGGCAATATCATCATAGACTTCAGGACTACGCAGAGCCAACAGCACAGTATCCTCTATTTCCCTGTAAAAGAGAAGATGAGGGGGAAAAAGGTGTATGAATCCTCTATTGTTGGTCAGGAAGAATTTTAAGAGTTGCATACAAAGTGTTTAATAAATCCATAAAATATACCATCTCTTAGACAATGCAAACACAGCTATTAGATAAAAGGCACACATAGAATAAGGTCAAGGAGATCACTCTTCCCTACTTCACTATTAATTTGACATTCAATGACAATTACATTTGATACTTCACAAGTACGTGCAGAACAAATCAAAGACCTCTTAAATTTAAGTTTACAATCTTCAATAAAACAATTCATCAAAGACCCAAATCTCAAATACCTCTTTTGCTGATCATAGCCAGCAATGGTATCCCATGACACCTCTTCATTGGCATTACCAACAAGTGGTTCATCAAGCCCGAATACACGTATGCCCATGGCTTCTAAACTAGTAATTGATTTACTTGTCGAAGGCATTCCAGCGGAACTACTTCTTTCTCCAGCTTTGCTCTGCCCTGGCCTTTCACCAGCTATTTGCATGATTGACACTAGAGCCTCAAGCTCAGCAGGACTAAAGCTTCCTTTCTTCAGGAACTCAACCTCCTGCAAGTGTATCAGCAACAAAAACATCAGCTCAATGCTAGATGCCAGCAATACACCCTTTGATTTAAAAAAAAAAAAAAGAGGCATATAGCATCTACAAGGACAGTATCAACTATTAAGTTTGAATTAAAGGCGGTGATTACCGGCTTATCAGGACTTATCAGTGACCTAAATATTAAAACACAGAGATCGCTGTCATTTGAAATGTTTTCTCCTGTACCAACACTACTCCCTCCACTTTCTCTCTTTTCATTTGGGAGCCTGAGTGCTAGCTGCCAAGCAACTGTGCTGAAATTATACAGCGTAACAGAAAACACATAGAGTTAACTGATAAAAGCAGGTTCAATCACAATATATAACTGAATTGATTACTACTAATGGCAATGAAACTGAAATAGCATAATTGCAGAAATAAATCTAACTTCCAAAACACGTCAAAAGAAATGCCAGAAAAAGATTGAAAGAACTTCAGCTTCGAAATTACCTGTCCCAGGATTGAACTTCCATAGGTGAACCACCATTGAGGCTTGCAGCAAGGTTTGCTATCAGTCTAGGGATTTCACAATATGCGGGTACAGGGAACTTGATAGCAATCTACGCATATCATAAAGAACCATTATCTTAGCAGGCCAAAAAAAAAAAAAAAAAAAAAAAAAAAAAAAAAAAAAAAAAAAAAAACTGATAGCATAAGAGCAAAGACAATGTACAAACTACAAACACTTTGGCTGCACAAAGCAAACAGCTTTCTCTAAATAAACTATCTCTAAATAACTAGTAAGTTTGTCAGCCTTAAGATGATTATACTTAAAAGTTAAAAGTATAAGTAAAACCTCATGAGAGAAGCCTTCAGTTTTGGACAATTTTCGACTTTTTTAGGCCCGGAAAGAAAAGAGGCCGGGGTGCTTCCCATGGACCCCACAAGACCCCGGGAGGCTGGATGCCCCACCTTATTATCTTCCTTGAATATACATTCACTCTAAACTTAGGTTTAAAGTATGCTTCCAAAATCTATCACAATCTTATTAAAGCTATGGTTTGTTATGTATGATTTCTACTAAATTTTGATCCCGATTTCCTCAATTAGAATGAAATAACAAAATTGTGAACAACATCGGAGGACTAAAGGAGTAAAAGGACCAATGATTCATATAATTAATTCCTAGGTTGACTACAAATAAGAGGGAGCCGGACTAGCCTCTTTTCTGTGTTGCTCGCCTCTTGTTACTCTTGTTATATCGTAATGAGATTTGATAGTAAACAAAGTTTGGAAAGAAGGTGATGCAGAACTATACAAAAAACTCTATAATCTGTCTCATGCAGCAATAGAGATGGTGTTTGATGCAGGATTTTACTAGGGTGATAAGGTATTTTTACCTTTTGGCCCTTTACTGCAACAGTGAATCGTGGATAAGAACCATACTTCAAGCTTTTGCTTCTTATAAGATCCTCCAACCTATGTCGTTCCTTTTTTGCTATTTCTTCCAGGTTATCATAACTTGAAGGGATATCAGATGGCAAGGGAGATTCTGAAGGGGCCTGCAATGGGTTCAGCAACAATGAAATGCAATCAAGGAATAAATCTTCAATATACTCAGTAATCAGTATGCAGTTCAGTTTAGAGTCCAAGTTTCCAAAACAGATCATATGGAACAAGAAGCAGACAAACTAGGCCTGGCGCTAGCAATGCATGAAAATATGAATCGCCACACAGAGTAGTCCATCTAGATAACAAACACAAACCTCATTTGTATCTGCATAAGCCACATCTAGAATCCCAACACCAACAACACTAGCTAGCACAAGCGGAATGCAAAGTGACCGGGTAGACTCGAAACTAGAAAATGGAATACGGCCTTTAAACACATTGGCCAATTGCTGCTGGGTTCCATAACCTGCACATCACATAATTGCAAACCTGAATTGATAAAAGTTCTCGTGGTCTAGCATCAACCACTCAACCACAGTATCGCTATATATTGATTAAAAGATATCCAAAAGTTGTGATAACATAATCACAAGAACATTCATGTCTTCCAAAACAGTTCTAGTAATTACACAATTTCAAAAACAATATATATGAATTCATAAAAAGTACTCTTTCTAAGCTACCATCACCTAATGATCAACTCAATCAAGCAAAAATAGAGGTCGGTACATTTCTTAAGCTCAGAGAACTTTCAGCTCAATCTTAAACATATTGATTTCTTGCATATAATTTATCCCTAAAATAACAAATGCTCTGCTGATAAAACACAATTTAGTGTTCCCTTCCAACAATATATAAAGCTAATATTAACTAAAACTAGCAAAACCCCAATTCAGAAAAGCCACTAAATTTCAAAACCAAGCATACAAATTCAATTTTATTGAATCCTACCAGCAACAAGCAAAATCAGCTTAAATTACACAATGACATCACCCCATTAATTCTACTTATAAAGTTTACAAATTTATGTGCCAAAGGTTCAAACTATAACATTAACAAGACTAAATGTAGTTATAATTATAACCCAAAAATAAAATTATTAAAGGGATGAACTTAAAAGAGTAAAATTCAAAGATAACCCAGAAATTAGAAAGAAAAAATATTACCATGATAAAGACGAGTTTGAAGGGGTTGAGGTGATAATGAAGGGTTTATGGTTTTATAAGAAGAAATTGCACTGCGCCAAACTCTTCTAGTTAATAATCGACTGAATGTTGCCATGATATTCTAGTTTTGATCAAAATTCGAGGGGTTTTTATGTATTGAATTTTGCTAGAATTACTGGCAAATTGGAGAATTGAATTCCAAGTCTAAATTATTCAGAGTCCCCCACCAATAATATAGTTGGGTCGAATAAGCATGAGGAATCTGATTCTGGTAGCTTCAATTTCTTGAAGGACAGGTTATGTATTTTATTTTATTTTTTGGAATAGGTGGGGAGATTTTTTATTTTATTTTTGGTAGAACCGCTCACCTTGACTCAAGTTCGATTTTTTATCAAATTGAGCTTAACACATAAACTATTTACCAAACTAGACACCTGACCAACCTATTTACCAAACTAAGCTTCTGAGCCTTTATTTTTATTTTATTTTTTAAATTTTGTATTTTAGGAAATACAAATTAAATAGGGAAAAAACTGAAAATACCAAAACCGCTGCCTCAGTCAGCGTTTTTGTGAATATCAGGTTTTTTTTTATTTATTTATATTGAAGGGTTTTATGTCAAAATAACAGGTCATAAAACGCTGCCTCAGGTAGCGTTTCATTAATACTACAAAGGCAGCGTTTATCCCTGCTATATTGAAAAAAAAAATCGCGAAACATATTATTCACTCTCATCATCAAAACTCAAACTCTCTCTCACACTCTTCATCAACGGTCAATCCCAAGCTGCCGCCGCCTGCTGTCGTCGCGCCTCTCCTCTTCCTTTTAATCACATTGTTGGTACTTCTCACTCATTGGTTTTTAAAATCTAAAAACCTAGGTTAGTTTGATAATTATATACTACATTGTTTTAATTTGATAATGTTGTTGATTATTCTAAGTTAGTTTGATGTAAATTGATAATTATGTTGATAATTCTAAGTTAGTTTGTTGTAATTTGATAATAGTTTAGTATGAAAGCCCTTTGATGTTAGTTTAGTATGAAAGTTTTCGATGAAATTGTGGAAATTTTTGATAAAATTGTTGATAATGTTGATGAAACTGTTGTTCTAATTTGATAAAGTAGCCTACATTGTTGTTTAATTACGAAAAATATGTTATGTAGAATATGTTGGTTGTTATAGTGTGAATATGTTGGTTGTGTACTTTGTTTTGGTTGTTATGTGAATTGGAACAATGTTGGTTAATTATGTTTATAGTGTGAATATCTTGGTTGTTATAGTGCGAATTGCTGGACATTGCAATTAAGATGTGTTTTTGGTTGTTATGTAGAATATGGCTGCACAAAACGCAGCTTTGTTATGCCGGTGGGGGGTGAATTTGTGTCTGATGGACCGAATGTCCAGTATAGTGGTGGAAATATGGAACCATTGCCACTTGGACCGGACATGACTTTCAACGATCTGATGAACGAGGTTCATTGCATTATTGGCTTAAACCCAATGAATGTACAACTTAACATTCAAATGAGGTTTGAGACTAATAATGCGGTTCAAGTGTTACCTTGTTCTAACGATAGACATTTGAAAGCTTTGAGGAGCGTTGTTTAATGAGGGGTTATCCATAGGAGATATATGTAGAAATAGTGCCTACATGTACTCAACAAAGTACTCGCCCAGATCAACAAGCTACATATATTTCTGGATACACAGAGTCCTTCCGAATGCCCTCACAAGACATTCTATCAACACAATATGGGATGGGATCCTTCAGTAGACTGCTTCATGACGATCAGTTTCAGATGCCGTTGAGTTCACATATAGCTTCACCTGTATATGGTGGACCATCTACGACAATGTTTGGCCAATCTGGTCCTTCGACGTTGAACACATTATATCTTCTCCGATGCAACTCCATAATTATTCACCTATGCAAGATGATGATCATACATCACCGTCTCAACCATTGGTGAATCATCTTGAAAATCTACAACATATGGTGAATAACAAGTTGTCTGTGTATGATGCGCTCCGGGAAACAAATGATGAGGCTGAGAGCGAAGAGGAGGAAGATGGACTAGATAACATGGATGTTGATCCTGCAGACATGGAAGGTAGGGAGGCCATGGTTAGAACTCCTATTCCTTGGTTCAGTCAACTAAATGAGAATTATGAGGTTGATTAATATTGGCCGAATCAGGTAGTCATACAACATATGTGATCGGGGGAGAGTTTGAGAAGGGTATGTTCTTTGAATCTAAGAAACTTCTTCAGGAAATGGTGAAGAAATATTCTATACAAAGGAACCAATTGTACACCACAGTGACCTCGAATGAGAAGGTCCTTCATCTGCGGTGCAAGAAGAATTGTGGTTGGTCGCTACGAGGTACTAAAAAAAGTGAGCACTCAGACGGATTTACCATAGTCACATACAAAGGCCCGCACCGGGAGACCTGTGTCACTGAAGTGTTATCTACAGATCATCCACACTTGGATTCATCCATAATTTCCGATTTTGTGAAGTCTTTTGTGCAGAAAGATCCATGCTTGAAAGTTGAATTGATACAGGATCTCATATCCAAGCATTTTCAGTTCGACATTCTTTATCAAAGAGCATGCAATGGTATGCTAGGGAGAAATCCATAGCTGAAGTATTTGGAGATTGGGAGAGTTCTTATGGAAAACTTTCGCACTTCATGCAAGCACTCCAACAATCAAACCCGGGAACCGTTGTTGTATGGAAACACAAAGCTCTGGTAGACGGTGTTTATTATAGCAACATGGAAGTGTTTGAACGAGTATTTTGGGCCTTCAGCCCTTGTGTCGAAGGTTTTAAACATTGTATGTCTGTCATCTGTATCGATGGGACGCATTTGTACAGGAAATATAAAGAAACACTGTTGGTTGCTACAAGTGTGGATGCAAACTTCCAAGTATTTCCGCTTGCATTTGCGTTAGTCGAAGGGGAAAACACTTCCAGCTGGTCTTGGTTTCTGGGCAACATTCGGGTTCATGTCACTCAACGAGATGCCTCTGTGTTATATCTGATCGACATGATGGGATCATTGCAGAAATGAATGACCATAACGTTGGATTCACCCAGCCGCGAGCCTATCACAGGTTTTGTGTTCGCCACATGGCTTCTAACTTGAAGACTCACGTGCGAAGCAACGACATGAGAGATATGTTCAAGGCTACTGCGTACCAAAGGCAGGAAAGAAAACTGCAAGCTGATTTGAGTTCGATCGGTCAGGCATGTGCCAAGGCCATAGATTATATTGTCCAAGTGTTGTTGCCTATGTGGTCTTTGTTTCACGACACTGGTCGCAGATATGGGATATGTAATACGAACTTCTCAGAAACATTTAACAATGTGTTGAAGGGTGCTCGATTTCTACCTATCATGTCCCTTGTTAAGTTAACATTCCACAGAGTTAATAAGTATTTCACTGATAGAAGGGAATTATCTCAAGCAAGATCTGAATAGGGACTTGCATACCCCCCCCCCCAAGGTCACTTCCACTATGGAGAAAAACATCGCAAAGGCTAGATATCACAAAGTGGAAGCGTATAATCGTCGACTGCATATATATCAAGTTGAAACAAAGAGGGGAGATAAAATTAGTAGAAAAGGAGGCCATAGACATACTGTTAACTTTCAGTTAAGAACGTGTACATGCAATAAACCACGGATCTTCCACCTCCCATGCTCTCATGTTCTAGCAGTTTGTGCGAAGTATTTGATATCAGAGCGGCCATGGGTGGACCGGGTACTGCAATCAGAGGCCTACACAAACACATACGCTCCACAATTCTGGCCTATCCCTTGTGAGATGGCATGAAGAGAGTATGGAGGCCCTAAACTCATTCCCGACAACAACATGGTACGAGGACAAGGTCGCCCTAAGTCAAGGCGCATACACAATGAAATGGATGAGACCAACCGTCCCGCGAGCAAATGCAGCCTCTATCACCAGCAGGGTCACAACAAGAGATCGTGTCCATCTAGATCGACCGGGCACTAAGTTTTTTTTTTGTTTTAGAATGATATAGTAGAATAGTACGTTGATTGTATTTCTGCATTTCTAATGATTGTAACAGTTGTAATATTTTTGGATTGAAGTATGAGATTTGAAATTTGCCGTTTGTCGCTGCCTGTATTTTGTTATCGCTTGTCTGTAATTGTTAATCTCTAATTGTTGGATTATACCGTTGTTAATGAACAGATACCATGGACACCCGAGACAAGACACCCGGAGACAGGACACCCGGACCCACTGACCCTTCTGTCCTTACACTATAGGACACACATTGTAGCGTTGACATATGGACTCAGTCGGTTGTCCGGCGAGCATGCTGGTGTGTAGGCACTACACTGCCGCCTTCGTTGGGGATTGGGTTATCGATCCCCGCATTATGCCTTTTTTCGAGCAGGCTGGCTTCATGGGTATACATCGGATGGCGTTCAGAGATGTCGACCGAGCGCTTGTTACTACGCTTGTGGAGAGATGGAGACAGGAGACGCACTCTTTCCATCTACCTGTTGGGGAGGCGATTATGACGTTGCGATACTCACACGCCTTCGCATTCATGGGAGTCCGGTGACTGGATCTGCGTTGGTCGATACCCCCGGTTATGTAGCTCAGGTTCTCGGGGTTCAGCCAAGTCCGGACGATATTAGGGGCAGCGGATTGAGGACCGACTGGATACGCGACACTTTTCGTGTGTTGCCAGCCGATGCTGATCATGCCATTGTTGAGATACATGCTTGAGCGTACCTTTTTCTGCTCATCTCGGGTGTGTTGTTCGGTAGCAAGAGTGGGAGCCATGTACAGATCATTTACCTGCAGTTGTTAGACCATGACTGGGAGCATATCCGTGGCTACAGCTGGGGCAGTGCCTGTTTGGCGATGTTGTATCGCCATCTGTGTAGAGCATCCCGCCGGGGTTCTCGTGAGATCAGCGGTCCGTTAGTTGTGCTTCAGGTAACCACCTAACTGTTAACAATTTAGTTTGGTAAGTTCTTACCTAGTTTACAATTAACCTAGTTTTGTGTGTTTGATGTCCAGTATTGGTCTTGGGAGCACATCCATGTAGGCAGGCCAGGTAGGCCTGCTATACATCGTCAGGGGCAGCAGGACCGGGAGTAGCAGTATCAGTAGTACATTCCTCCACCACGCCCTACCGCTGACGAGGCGTACGGTTGCAGATGGGCAGTCCCCAAACTGACATATGCGCATGCGGCCGTACTACCGAGACGCACTTGACCGACTCACCGAGGATCAGGTGATAACTTTAGTTTAATTTGTAAACATTTATTTATTATGTATACTCTTAACCTATTTAATATGCACTAACCTGTATACGATATTCCTTTGTATGTGTTATTGCAGATGATATGGGACCCGTATGAAGCTGATTTAGTTGTTGTCATGCCTCCACATCTGCTAGATCATCAGGCGCAGTGGCGTGCCAGGGTCCCCCTGATCCGTTTTGAGGTTGTGGAGAGTCACCTACCGGATCGAGTCATGCGACAGTTTGGACTACGCCAGCCTGTCCCCCAGCAGGGTGACACTAGTGTCCGGCTGCACCGCATTGACGTTGGGGAAAGAGGGAGACGAACTGGTTACTGGAGCATGCCCGGTACATTGACTTGTGGCATCAACGGTTAGAGTTCGTCGTCACTGGTGACCCCATCCAAGGCGTTATGGATCCATACGATCCATACATGGTGTGGTACAGGCGGATTACACGACGTTTCATCAACCCAAGCTACACGCCGCCATCCGCACATTACCATCCATCCTTTGACATGATCTATGGATATGTAAGTGTATTTGATTTACTTATTTTCATCAATTTTTAATTTGTATATCATTCAACTAAATCATCCATAATTACTGTAGGCGTTGGATATGACGGCGATGGTTGACGCACAGTCGGACGCCCTTCCAGGCATACCTGAACCACCCAGAGCACAGGTCGAGCGGGTGCGAGATATGGGCATGACTACCTTGTAGAGATATGGTCATGCCTATCTCGTCCACCCCCGGGACGGTCATGGATGCCACTCTGTCCACTCACAGTTCGAGGCTGGCCAGAGTAGCGGTGAGGGGTGATCCTGCGTCATTCACGGCCGCAGAGGAGTACGCCATCCGCTGTTCCGCGCCCACAGCTCCTCCGAATGACCCGTCGTCCAGCCAGCTGACTCCGCCAGTACGCCCAGACCCATTTACCACGGTCCGTCACTACAGCCGCCGTGTCAGACATCACGATAGGATAGAGGCAACATACAGGATAGAGAACCGTTACATCAAATCAATGAGTCAAGATAGGATAGAATTATCTGATTTATTTGTTGTAATGAGCTTCTCTAGTCTGTTGTATATAACACTTACATTACATTATTATTATAATAAATGTGTTTTGAATGAATTTATGTCTTGTTTGAACTTTAAATTCCTTATTTGTGCATATTTGACTCATTTCGTTCAAAATAAATCAGTATGGGCTGGTTTGGAAGTCGTTGGGTGGTTTGAAGTGGCTAAGGATGGTTGAAATCGCCGGTGGAGGGTGTTGGTCGATGGGCGGTGGTGGACGGTGGTGGTGGTGGTAGGTTGGTGGTTGATAGTGGTGGTGGTGGTGGAGGGTGGTGGTGGAGGGTGGTGAGATGAGATGGTGGTGGTGGTGTCGGAAGGTGTTGTGGATGGTGAAGTGGTGGTGGTGGATGCCGGTGGGGATGGGAGGTGGTGGTTGATAGTGGTGGTGGTGGTGGAGAGTGGTGAGGTGGTGGATGCCGGTGGGGATGGGAGGTGGTGGTTGATAGTGGTGGTGGTGGTGGTGGAGAGTGGTGAGGTGGTGGATGTGATGAGATGGTGGTGGATGAAGATGGTGGTCGTGGTGTCGGGAGGTGTTGGAGGGGCGGTGTGGATGGTGAAGTGGTGGTGGTGGATGCCGGTGGGGATGGGAGGTGGTAGTGGAGGAGGATGGTGGCTGAAAGAGAGCTTTGAGTGGTGGAGGATGGCTGAAACTGGGTTGGGGCTGCTGTTGTTGGCTGCAGTCAGCCAGCAGATAAAGCACTGCCTCAGACAGCGTTTTATATTGTGCATAAATCGCTGCCTCAGGCAGCGCTTTATAGCAATGCTAAAATCCCTTCCACATTAAAAAAAAACCAAATACACAAAAAACGCTGACTGAGGCAGCGTATTTTGTATTTGGTTTATTTATTTATTATGTATTTCATAAATTAGGAAATTAAATAATAATAAAAAAAAGGATAAAACGCTGACCGAGGCAGCGTTTTACCTTAGAAGCTTAGTTTGGTAAATAGTTTGGCCACGCGTCTAGATTGGTAAATTGTTTGTGAAGTTAGCTAAATTTCGTAAAAAAATCCACTCAAGTTAGCGAGCTAAACACGTTGATAGATAGGATGTTTGTGGATAAGTGAATTGATTCCCCATCCTTACCATGTCATTTAGTGGGAGTTAAACCCCTAATTGGATGGTAAGTCCAAATTTTTTTCCATATCACTAGGCAAACATTTGGTTGATAAGAGGGTTGGGGAGCATTGAAAATTGCCTTTTTTTTTATTTTGGACAGAAAAATTGTTTTTAGTACCGTTCTATTCCATAGATATCTCATGTAAAATAGTAATATTGTACTTTATGTTGCATGAGAAAGAAAGTGCAAAGAAAGATGAGAAGGAGGCCAAATAAAAAAGGTTTACACTATACCCTCAACCATAAAAATCACTTCAAAAAAAAAAAAAAAAAAAAAAAAAAAAACTACATAAGTTATTAGTTAAGTACATTGTACATTTCCATTAAAAAAAAAGTACATCGTACATTTACTTATTGATTTAGCTTGAAAACAGAAAAAATAAATGTTCTTTAGAGTTTTACTTCCTTTAACGAGACATTGTGTTTGTCAATTCATCATTAGATATCGTTATGTTATATACTACACACGTGTAACACGTTTAGGTCGTCTACACATGTAGATCTAGGTATGTTGTGCATGGTAAATCCGTTTGATGTTTAATAAATAGAGTAATTAAACAGAGAGAGACATGCACGTTTGTAAAGATTTTCTACAAGTAACTGGGAATATGATCATACAATTCAAACCCCCATTTCTGGTAACTTTTGAAACGTCTTGAGGAGAACCTTGATGCTAAATGCAATGAGTATTTGTGGAGTGATCCTTTGGGCTCGTTTTAAGGATTATTTGGGCTTGATATTTAGGATCAATTATGGGCTATTAGAAGAAGTGTCTCTGTTGGGCTAAAACTGGATGGGCTTAATTCAAGTCTAGTAGGATGACATTAGCCCAAATGACCCAACTGCTTTGTTTTTGTTTGATTCGGCTTTAAATTGCATGCCAGGGAATTAAGTTATAAAACCATGTTTACAATTCTAAGCTTATTCTAACAAACCTAAGATTTTTCAAGCTTTCCAATTTACAACAATTTGTCACACAAATTACTAAATTAGTACTCCATGAGTAGTTATAAAACCATGTTGAAATAAGTATTCATGAACAGAGCGAGAAAGCAAATTACATTTCAACACAAACCAAAACCAAAAATATATATATATAGCACCGACCTAATATAGTTCTACAACCATGAGTGCTAAACTACTAACCATCTTAACTAGTTAAATTTTTTTTAGGGTGGTGTTCAGACTGTTCACCAAGGATTAAATCATATCTACATCATTTACCTTTTCTAACTCCAACCCAAAAAAAAAAGGCAAAAACAAAAATACTTATAAATTTAATGCCGGTGTAAGAAAAATATCTCATAATCTCATCATATTTACTTGAAGGTCTTGTTCAAATCGCTGGCTTAGTTCAGTGTTGTATGTCTTTTATAGAAGTGTCATGCATGTATAGTACGTACTGTTGAAAGGCATTGGATAATAAACCAACAAAATTGCCCTCAACTTAATTTCTGCATGCAATTGTACGTCTTTAATTCATTTATCAGTTTATGACTTTATATATTATGTCATGCATTCAATCTGTATGTTGAAAACCATTGGGTTATTATCCTACAAATTTGCTTTCAACTTTCTGCGTAATTTGGCCTCTTCTTTTGAAGGGTCTCTTAGATAACACTGCTACTTTCAACATTGTGTTCCATATCGATCCATTATTGTCAATATGGTTCAATAATAGATATGATCGATTTAATTGATATGTACGTGGTTTATTACATGATCATCACCTGTAGAAACTCGCCCAAAATTAAACATCTTTGTGTATTGTATGGTGTTTAAATTAAGCGCAAATTATGAACTCGTATGTAATATATATGGTACTAGTATTGCACTTTGAAGCATTACGTACATCCTTCAAATAATAAATGAATTGTACAAAATCACGTGTTGAAACTCGCCCAAACATCTTTGTGTAATATATATGCTAATTTAACTAAATGCATTATACAAAATTAAGCTATATTCATTCAATACATTGTATATTCACTCATTGCGCATATTCATTGTAAATCGTTCATTGTCTATGTTCGTTCATATGCAAAATGCAAATTCAATTCATACATACTATCATACTTTTATTTTATTTATTTATTTTAATTACAAAGAAATAATTATCTCTATCCTCTACAAAAAAAAAGACTATTTTAACATAAGGCTACTTTCTTTATTAGATGAGTCATGAGTTATAACGGAAATTTAGCCTAACATCACCACAAAAATAATAAGTATATACTCCGTATAAATTATCACCTTAATTATCTTATAGATTAAGAGCTATCCGGCCGTCCCATTAAGCTAATTTCATATGTTTGGTAACCTTATTATATGGAAGAAAAAGCAAGGTTAGTTCCCACAATAATAGAGTGAAAGTATATGAATTTTTTGTTTATACTTGAATAAGGGCAAACAAGTAATAATTAAATAATATTATAAAGATTAAAGGTAACGAAAATTATAATAATACAAAATACTTTTATACCAAGTATATTAATTAATGTTAATTAAGTATTGTGACTTGGCTTATCTTCTGCATAGAGTGCACACAAGTTGTCACCCACACGTGCAGCACTGGCTTGATCTCGTGCCATGCTTTGGATTTGGGGAACAAGAAAATCAGACAAACAGAAGAAAGGAATAAGAAACCACAAATAACTAGGAAGAGACCGGTAATTTTTATTACCCGTAAGGCCGTAACATAAATCAAGCTCCGTTAAAATTAACATGTTAAAGGTGATAGAGACATGGACTATATAAATCAATTTTAGACTTTAATTCAACCATTAGCATACGCTTTTGGTTGAGTTGGTCCTCGCTATTATGATATCTCGATCTGAGCTCATAATAACAGGGTCACGAGTTTAAATCTTGTCCACCTTTTTCCATTAATTTAAACTTTTAATAATTAATTAAATTATATTGGTTTTCTAACATCGTTGGATTATAGGCGAGGTTATATAAACCATTGCTTCAAGTATAAAACTAATCTTTTGATAGTTGGTCATTTAACAGGAGGAAACATTTTCGCTAGAACTTCTTTTTTAATCGAAGAGCACATTTTGTCTTACTTATCTATCTAATTGACATAAGATGAGACGATGAACTACTATATTTCCCGCCCAATTCAAATTTACTTGTGGGTGGAGAGGCAGACAATCAGTGGCGGATCTAGGGGGGTTCAAGGGGGTTCATTGAACCCACAGATTTTTTGAAAAAAAATATAAGTTTTAATTTTTTTTTTTTAAAAAAAAAAGGTTTAAAAGAAATTTTGGTGAGAATAATTATCACACGAGTAAGTTTGGCGCATTGGTAATTCTATGGAGAATAGAGCAGCGCGCTCCTTTAGTACCTTAGGTCTTGGGTTCGACTCCAAATGCCCCCTTTTTTGTACTTTTTTTTTTTAAAAAAAAAAACTCCTTACATTCAGATTTCAATAAGTCATATTTCAAAAATCAAACATCAGACATTTTTCCCCAAATTCCCAAACACCAAAACCGCACCACGGCACCAGTAACAAACTCCTTACATAAAAATCCGCCCCTGCCGCCGCGGCACGCCGGCACCGCACACTGAGACACCGACGGCCGACCGGGCGACCTGCGAGGCGGCGACCACCTCACGGAGATACGGACGACTGGACTGTGGAGTGTGGACGACTGTCGACTGGACTAGGGTCCTAGGGACGAGTTTAGATTTCGAGTTCTTCTCTTCTACAATTGTGACTTTGTGAGTCCTCTTAATCTCTTATTCCTTATTTCCTCTACTCCTATTAAATCTTAATCTTGGTTTGCTTAATTGCTTGTTTTATTTTTCCCCAAATTCCCAAACACCAAAACCCTAACTTTAAAAAACTCCTTACATAAAGATCCGCCCCTGCCGCCGCGGCACGCCGGCACCGCACACTGAGACACCGATGGCCGACCGGGCGACCGGCGAGGCGGCGACCACCTCACGGAGATACGGACTGGACTGTGGCCGACTGGACTAGGGACGAGTTTAGATTTTGAGTTCTTCTCTTCTACAATTGTGACTTTGTGAGTCCTCTTAATCTCTTATTCCTCATTTCCTCTACTCCTATTAAATCTTAATCTTGGTTTGCTTCATTGCTTGTTTTATTTTTTAAATTGGTTTATGGTTTTGATATATTGTTGAATTCTTGAATTGTTGAGAAATTGAATTGTAGAAAGTTAGAAGTTAGAAACTTAAAATTATAAATTTTTACTTGTTCTGTTAATTAAAATTTGATAATTAGAAGAAGTTTATATCGTCAAATTTGTGTTTATTGGGGACTTGTGATTTTTTTTTTTGAAAGGGAAGTGCTCAGCGAGCACAATTAGAATTAATCAGCTGAAATCAACAGCAGCAAGGCCTTGTTTATTGGGGACTTGTGATTTTAATTGATAATTAATTGTGTATTTTGTGTATTATTGTAGATTGTAGAGCTTTTGTTACCATGAGTTTAGAGTCTTTTTGGAAACGTGCCGGGAAGTCACAAAAGTCCTCTACTTGTTCTTCACCTAGTTCAAGGAATCTTCCAATAGAAGAAGATGTTGTAACTCCTATTGATGATGTGGATATTGAGTCTCCTAATGATGATGCGGATGTCGTGTCTCCTAATAATGACGCGGTTCCAGTGGCTGCTTCAATTCCAATCCCTGAAAACACAACTCAAAGTAATCCAAATGCTAGTGTTGAGTCTGATGATACTCGCATTTATGATGTTCATCTTCTTCCACATGATCCTGGAAAAAGAATTCCAATTTTGGAATATCCTGCTACTGACAGGGATGCTGTGAGAAGAGGTTATATTACAATGAAACGTTGTGATCCACGCACTCATAATTTCCCTCGAAGAAAAATAGGAGGTATGCGTCGATTTAATGTTGCTTGGTTTGATAAATATGATTGGCTTGAATATAGTGTGGAGAAAGATGCGACTTTTTGTTTTGTGTGCTACTTGTTCAAAGATAAAGTTGATTCTATGGCTGCTAATGATTGCTTTATTAAAGGGGGGTTTAGAGGATGGAATAAGATTGGTAGATTTAATATTCATGTGGGAGGTCTTGGTAGTTTGCATAATCTAGCTTATGAAAAATACAATTTTTTCATTAACCCAAAAACATCAGTTGCCGAATCTTTTTTCACTTACACCACAGAAGCTAAACTTCAATACAAATATCGATTGACTTATTCATTAAAATTTATTAAGTTTCTTCTAAGTCAAGGCTTAGCTTGTCGTGGGCATGATGAAAGTGAAGACTCTTGGAATAGGGGTAATTTTCTTGCACTCTTAACATGGCTTTCAGAGAATAATAGTGATGTTGCAAAGGTTGTTCTAAGTAATGCCCCGGGAAATAATCAAATGACTTCTCCTTTAATTCAAAAGGACCTCATTAATTGTTGTGCCAAAGAAACCACTAGACTTCTCATTGATGATATTGGGGATGACTACTTTGGAATACTAGCAGATGAATCTAGTGATGTATCTCAAAAGGAACAATTGGCCCTTTGTTTGCGTTATGTGAATAATAAAGGGAAGATAACTGAGAGGTTTCTTGGAATTGTACATGTTAAGGATACCACTGCTTTGTCACTAAAAAGTGCAATTGAGTCTTTGCTTATGGAGTATTCATTGAGTTTGTCTAGAGTTCGTGGACAAGGTTACGATGGTGCTAGTAATATGAGGGGTGAGATAAACGGTTTGAAGACTTTGATCATGAATGAAACAAAACAAGCTTATTATATTCATTGTTTTGCTCACCAACTTCAATTAACCCTTGTTGCTGTTGCTAAGGATAATGATGATTGTATTTGGTTGTTTGACCAACTTGCTATTTTATTGAATATTATTGGTGTTTCTTGTAAGAGAAGGGAAATGATAAGAGAAATACAATCTCAACATGTTCTAGAAGCATTAGATCTAGGGGAAATTGAAAGCGGGCAAGGTTTAAACCAAGAACTTGGTTTAGGTAGGCCTGGTGATACTAGGTGGGGATCACACTACAAAACTGTTTCAAATGTTACCTCATTATATGCTACTATTGTCAAAGTTCTCGAGAAGGTTGGATCAAATAAGCTTTATAAGGATGATCGTGTAAAGGCTATCACTGTTATGTCTACATTTGAATCCTTTGAGTTTGTTTTCATGATACATTTGATGTCTGAAATATTTGGGCAAAATGATAAATTGTGTCAAGCTTTGCAAAGAGGAGACCAAGATATTGTTAATGGCATGTCATTTGTTACGTTGACTAAGGAACAATTGCAACAAATGAGGGACCATGGGTGGGAGGAATTTTTGCATCTTGTGCTTTCTTTTTGTGCTAAACATAATGTGGAAGCTCCTAATATGGATGATATGTATGTTCCTCGTGGAAGATCAAAACGCTTCTTTTCCAAAGTGACAAATCTTCATCGTTTTCGGGTAGAAATGTATTTAAGTGTCATTGATTTACAACTCCAAGAGCTCAATAATAGATTTGATGAGAAAAATATGGAGTTGCTTATTTGTATGTCATGCTTAAATCCGGTAAATTCATTTGCGGCATTTGATAAGCAAAAGTTGATGAGACTTGCCGAGTTATATCCCGAAGAGTTTCCAACTAATGACATGACAATGACTGCTCTTCGTCATGAACTTGGTTTCTATATTAATGACATGCGTACAGATGCAAGGTTTGGAGACTTGAAGGGTATTAATGAGCTTTCTATGATGCTTGTTGAAACAAATAAGCATACTTCTTACAAATTAGTTTACTTGTTGATAAGACTAGCATTGATCCTTCCGGTGGCGACTGCAAGCGTGGAACGAGTGTTTTCATCAATGACTTATGTAAAAAATAAGTTGCGGAATAGTATGGGTGATCAACTATTGAATGATAGTTTAGTTACTTATCTTGAGAGAGCCTTATTTGCAAGAGTTAGTGATGATGATGTATTAGCACGCTTTCAAAGTATGAAAACTCGAAGAATGCTTTTGTAGTTTTTTTTTTTTTTAGTGTGTAATCCATCCATTTGTAATAAAAATTTGAATTTATGTATTGAATTTTTAATCAATATATGATCATCGTTTTTTTTTTAAGATTTCGAACCCACGGTTCGGAATTCCTGGATACGCCACTGCAGACAATGCAACAAGATGCGAAGGAGTTGGTGCAGCAAATATGTGGTAAATGCCAGAAATTTTGGCCCTGTCATCCACTAGCTAGTGAGAGATCTTCAGCCAATCCCGAACTAATAATGAATTTATAATTTTGCCATGTTACGTGATGAGAATATTTGGTTTGGCTTAATTATTAGATTAATTGTTTGGTATCAACTAACAATAATTATACTTTGGTTTTTTTATAACTTTGTCATTCTAAAATTAAACTATATAGATTTGTGATTTGTGAATTCACATAGCAAGGATATCTTAAATTTATAAATTATGTCGGTTGTTATGATATAATATTGATCTTATCAAAGTTTAATTTGTATGTGTATGAGTGTGACTATCTATGTGAAAATAAAAAGTACTATGTATGATTAGCTTATATGAAGCATATTAGTTTGAAGTAGATGCATGTCGGCAATTTTTTTTTCCAAATAAACTGGTGTGCTACAATAGCGGTATTTTATATTAAATAATAAAGGAATAATATACGTCACATGTAAGAAATTGAGTTAAAATTAATAATATAGTTATCCTTATTTAGCTAGGTAAATGTTTACATCTTTACCATATCACAAGACACTATATTATCTCTTAAATTCAAAACCGGTTTGTAATATAGTCCCTAAAGTCCTTAAGATCGAATCTCCTCATTTGTACTTTATGCCGCATCATCAAATGGAAAGATGTTTAGGAAACGAAGATATATAGTATTGTTATTTAGTAATAACTTTAGCTCATCAATAAATTTCATAATATAAGTTAGGAAAAGCAAATCGATAAACCAATGTGTAGCGTACGTAGAGAGCATTATATAATTATATTTTTGAATAGAAAGAGTATTATAGACATTATGGTTGAATAAAAATTAAAGTTTTTAGGAACAATTTTTTTGTTTAGAAAAATATTTTATACTAGTATCGATCTAAATTATGTCATGGGTGGGATATAGACTTACCATTCAATATTGGTCGTAATATAATCTCTAAATTATACTAGGAGATGGGGGCGAAAGCTCCCAACCAATCATTTCCTTACTCTCATTTTATTTTTATTTTTTCTAAGTACATAACCTATGTCATTGGTATAGCATGCTATAGTATGTTAGGTAAAACGCATACTTCAATTTAATGACTTTCATAAAGATTGATCGACCGACTGCAAATTTTGTAAATTAGTTCAAGCAATTTGGCAATAAAAGTTAATTAAGCTAACATATTGCAAATCTGTAGTGCAAATTAATGTATTCCGTAGCATTTCAGCACATAATATTTTTGTATAGCAAATTATGTCTAGGGTTAAAAAAAAAAAAAAAAAAAAAAAAAGGAAAAAAAGGGAATTCGCTCTCTAATCAAATGACATTAATTTTGGGTAAAAAATTATAATAGAGAGTTAAAAATTGGATAATAAAGTGTACTATGAGTAAGCCTTAGGTGAGGCTAGCTCATACATGCAATATCATTTGTGAGGCATTATTACGGAGTAGTATATCCTTCAAAAAGTAATTACTATTTTTTAAATTTGAAACTCACTTTGATTTCACTTTAAGCCAATGTGAGACTATATATCAAATAATATTTTGTTATGTACAGAACTAGCTATTTAATAGGCAGATAAACTCAATATATATAAAGGAAACCTTAAATCAATTACATATCCCTATCATATATGCAATAACATTTAGCACTCAAACCAATAAAGATTGGATCGTTTCATGTATACAAATTACAAAGCAAATTAACTACATAGAAAAAGATTAAAAAGGACATCAATATTAGTCATAAGATACAGATCAAGGGAGCTTAATGCTTGAAACCCTAAATTGAGCTGTCAATTTAGGATTTGTTCCCTCCACTTACTTTTACAACCTCAACCCATGTGCCTTGTCTCATCCTAGAACTTCCCCAATTACAAAGTTATCACTATAATTAATTAATTAATTAATTTTACTTTTCAATTAATTAATTAATTTAAAGCACATCTGAAAATTCTTTTTCCAAGCATGTTATATCATTTTTTAATTACCACGGATGGAGAGTTTGTCACCGCTTATCCTAACTAGTTAACTGCCAATAAAAAGTTGTATTTTCTTAATCTAATTTTTTGTACTTTTGATGAACAATGTTGGAGACAAGTCGGATTAATTATCAATTTTTATGTGGTTCGTTTGTAGAGGATTAATTATTAAATTATTATTGTAAGTAAGGTTTTATTAGTTGCCTAATTACAAGATTTACAACTATTATTTAAGGGCGGGCATAGATAGCGTCATTGGATGTTTAATGGTCGCACTAATTTTCTAAGAAGGCTCCCTTCCATTCAAGGGTAGTTCTCACTAACATTTTTTATCATTAAATTAAATTAATAGAATTTACAAGATTTATTATTTTTGTTGGACAAGAACACAACAGGAACCGTAATTTAAAAGTACGGAGTAGTAATTAAATAAATATAGTAACATATTATATGTTCTAATCAAATTGTCATCGATCTATGTACAAAAAAGTGTGTTGGTATGTATCTAAATTTTGGATATAAAATATACTAGGTTCAAAATGTATAAATGATACACTTTTTAATTTACTCATTCTTTGATAAATATTCTCCCTATAAAAACTATAAGTAGATCACAAAGTTCCTATTTAACAGTAATGATTATTGACTTTTAGCAATTTTGATGTGAAGGAGCATCAATTTTACTGGTGTAGGACCAAGGAGCATCAATCTTGTGTTTGTGATTATTTAGGATTATGAAAGATGTGATGATTTAAAAAAGATATGTTTTTTTCATTATTTGTTCCCTACGTGAAAAATAATAATGGAAGACGTTGATAGGAAGTGTAACGGGCAATAACTTTGACAATGATTCCATATATACAAGTATGTGTTTTCACCGAAATAAAGTGTGCAACAAACCATTTTGTAAAAACAATGTCTGAACCACATACTAGCTTTAACTCTTCAAGTAAATATTGAAGATTGTTTGGAAAAGAAATAACCCAAGAGATTTTTTGATAGTAAAATCTATTTCAAGAACATAAACATCGGCTTAGATGGATGATTGAGAGAGGGTTTAGAAGGAAGGATACTCTTATCTTTGGGATTTCAATTTGTAACAATTATTCTAAAAATGTCTTTTTAATGAGAAAATAAATTTCTAAAGTGATTCAAGTACTTAATACACTAAAAATGCTTACAGTGAACTATAAAACTTTTATATAGACAGAGAAAGGAGGAGAGGTATGTTATTATGATCATTTTGACATAAAGAAAATAGAATTACTCCCTCCATTTTAGAATGTTATTCCCATTTAAAGCTTTTCACCCTTAAAAATTAGAGGTAATCTTCTAAATTTCTCTCTATATATAATAACAAACATAGTCATATAAGATTTACTTTTATTCGTCTCGATGAGTATTTCATTAATATCTAATTTACATAATATTTGCAAGTATAAAATTAAAGATATTTGCAATCAAAGATTTACATCGATGTACGAATATGATACTAATATTATGAAATGGAGTGGGTACTTCGTATTTTCGAACATAAAAAAATACACAATACTCTTTTATATGCTAAACAAAGAAAAACTAAAAATTATTTATCTTCTTATAAAAGTATAAGTTTTCCTCAAAACAACTTTTTATTTTATTTTTTTTTTATGTGATCCTTAATCCTACATAGAACTACAAATAACAAACGATATCTAATCCTAATTAATCTCAACTCTTAAGCACAACCTTCTAAAAAAATTGTTTAATTTAGACATATAGATTTCCTCCACACATTTTTTTTAACATTGTGCAAAAGATTTTCATGATTATCGCTCTTGAAGCCAAAAAGCTTTATACTTGTAACATCCAAAAAGCACTAGGGCCAAGGGTATTTTTACATTCTCCTTATCATATGCTTAATTGCTTAAGCTTTAAATCTCAAATTTCATGGGCCCTCGTTTATTTTTCAGTGAAGAAAAAGGAGGCAAAAAAAGGTCCATATATTTGTACTCTCGTGGTCAATTAGAAAAATAATGCTAAATATTTCAATATAGACCCCTGAAATTCAAATTTTGTATCGGATATAGACAGCTTAGTTAAGTAAAAACGATACTCGATCCTTGTATATTGTTGCGTAATATGTAAAGAATTTTTCTCGTGAGAAGGTTAGAGCTTCCCAATAATCATACTTCAAAAAAATTACGAAGTAATGTATATATTATGAGCAAGTACTTTAAACTAAATAAGTATACAAGTGCTCTTAATTAGTAGCTTATCATTGTAGCTAGCTTGTGTCAAACACTAACTAGTACGTTTACTTAGTCATCAAGCAAAAACTTGTATTTGAAAAAAGTCGAGCAAAATCTTCAATTTGAACAGAGTCAAAGAAAATCTTCTGTTTGAACAAAGTCAAGCGAGCGAAAACTTAAGGGATAATTAATTACTTATGCAATACTCCGTATTACAATCTTAGAAACAATCATCGAGAAATACTAGTGCTATAAACTACATCCCTAAGGCCTACTAGAGTACTAGTCCATTAAAAATGATCACTATCAATTAAGCAAAACACTAATATTCACTACTTTGTCAAACATTATATAAATGATACTCTATATATAAATAACAGTAGATTGTCAAATAAAAATATAGTCTAATTTGAAATTCAAACCTGCGCAGTGTGAGAAGATTACTTTCTGTTCACCGTTTATAATAATCGTGGGTCATAATTGGGAAAAATAAATACACCGTATTTCCCAATTAATTAAAATTGTCTAAAACGATATATCGGTCAAAGCATAACGCTTACAAAAAATAAAATAAAAAAATAGGAAGGGAGTAATAAATTTTTTTTGCATAATTGCTAATGTATTCAAAAATAATAATAGTGTAACTAATAAATACTCCCCTGAAAATGGAATAATATTTACAAAAAAAATTTAAATTAAAGGATGAAGAATAAAATCCTTTTCCAAAAACTATACATCCCTGTTAAAATTTTCACTCTTACTACACCTAGTAATCTAGTAAAACCTATCGATTTACTAGGTAACAAACATAAGTTAAACCATTAAAACAGTACTTTTCCTACTAAACAACCCACGCAAACTAAACATATTATTACCATTACCACCACCACTGCCACCACTTCTCATCCCGCCTCCGTCACCGTCGCCACCACTTTCTTCGCTTTGACAACTCAAACTCTGTCGATACCCGATACACACCGGAACATTTAACTTTAAAACCCGGCCTTTACCCGAACCACCACCATTAGGTGTTCGGTTCATCGAAACGGGTTTCCTTACTTGCCAAACCGGGCTAGCGCGGCCCAAATAAACCCCGGCCCGGCCCGGACTGCTGGGCCAAGACTTCCTTGATGTTTTTGACTCGCCTGAAGAATTGCTCCTTGAACAAGGCGCACTGCTCACTTTCCGGTTTGATTGAACCGCCGGTCTGGACCGACCCGAATTATTTCCCGCGGATCGGCTTCGCGAAAACGGCCAAATATTAATATTAAGCTCGGCCGAACTATTATTATTACCATTACTATTACTATTACTACGAGCATTTTTCCGCTCTTTCTCTCTCCTCTTCTCGGTTTTCTCCACCTTAATTTCCGATTCGTTCCCCGGTTTTTTCTCGGCTCGCTTGAAAATCTCCCTCCACCGCTTCGAAGCGGTTAAAATCTTGTTATTCGAAGTGATCAAAGCAGAAGGTCCCGGTTCGGGCTCAGAGTCCGGTTCGGATGGTGAAGGGTCCGGATCGGTCGGACCGGTATCCGGTTCGGAGTTTAGTGCTTGGTGAGGATGAAGGCGGTGAAGAGGAAGGAGGAAACCATCGGAGAAAAGCTCATCAGCTGATAGAAGAGTAGCGCTTTGTGGGTCGCAACCCGTGTTCGAGAACTCGAATTCAGGGGAGTTAATTGAGTCGCTGCTGCTACGGCGGCGTCGGAGAGAATGAGGGGGTGGAGAGAGAGTTAGAGTTCTTGAAGGCGATTCCATTTGTGTTTGTTTTAGAGAGAGAAAATGGGTGTGTTTTAGAGAGAGAAAGTGTGAGAATGTTGAAGATTTTGGTGGTTAGATCGAATGTGATGAATTGATGGAAGGTGGAATGCAATAAAAGAGAGGAAAGAAGAGAAGAGGAGAGAGGAGTTAAATGAATGGAGAGAAAGGTGGGAGTGAGTAAATGAGGTGGGTGTAGGATCATCGATAAACAAACACATACGAGTACTTCATATCCTCTCCCTTTCTTTTATATAAGCCGTCTACGGAGTATCTTCTATACACGTATTTTATATTTTTTCTTACGTATAAATTAATAAATGATATTAAAGTCAATATAGTTGTAAGGAAGAAAGAATTATAAGCCTAGCTTTTATTATTGTAGTATTAACATTGAATTAGATTGGTATTGAAAATAATTAAATTATGACAAAATATTTTATTCCATTGTTATATACTTGTAACACACCACTTTGATGTACATTAGTTACCTATATCTATTGCTAAATATTCCACTTTAATGGAGGGTTAAATCAATTTGAATCTATGACCTTCTTATCATCGAAAAGCCTTAGTAAAATTTGATCTCATGACATTCAATTCACGAGTCCAAACCCATTACACTAGACCAAATCTTGCTTAATTGATTTGTGAATTACAATAAAATCATAAATTCTAACATATATGTGTATGTGTGTAAGTTTGAAACTTTATTGATTTTGAAAACTCAAAGCCTAAGGATGTCTCCCACTACTTTTTTAGCCTTGTATTTCTTGTATTTTGAGAATGCAACAAACATGGTACACCTGTATTTTTTTTGGTTTCCATAATAAATGGCCTTTTCTAAAACGAATAATATAGTGCCAATAGTGGTATCATTATTAGCCAATTATACGATCCTAAGTTACTACACAAGCTTATTATATTTTGATTTTCTTATTTCTTATTATTAATATTATCGTATAATGATTTGGTATAAGTGTTGCTTGATAGCAGCGCATCTCATTTTGAATGGAGAACTACATGTACTTGATTTATACTTTAAGAAATGATCTTATACGAGTAGTAAGTAATGTTATTTTGTATAATATATATGTCAAATCTTGAGATATTGACTTTAGTTATTGTTGGTGTTGATTTATCTTACTCAAATGCCCCCCTTTTTAGGGTAAAATGGAGGGGAATGCCAACAACTAACCACACTAATTTAACTTTAGGGAAACTAATCATAGACAATTCAATTAAAGAGAGGTAAAAGTAATTACGTTAGTAACTCAAATTAACTTCTTTGTATTGTACGTATACTTTGAATGCTGTATTTGGATAATGCTATAATATCAAATTTAAGAATTAGCATACTCCATATATATGATATATGAAGCATACATCAGTACGATATAATAAAAAAATAAAATTAATTTACATATATAAACGCACCTAATAATTTTGGATTACACTTTAGGTGCATGCTTTTCACCTTACAAAAATAAGTTTTGAGTTCAATAAATTCCGATAAGTTCCAAGCAGGTTCAATAAGATTACTCTCTTAACAGTCAATCAATTAGGTCCGATCAAGTCTAACAAGTTCCAATTAGGTCAATTAGGTGCGATTAGGTTTAATAACTTTCAATTAGGTCTAATTAGACCAATAAGATCATATAATTAAGTTCAAGTCATATAATAAGGTAAAGAGAATGAACCCTTCTTGCTTCGATCACTTTAAATTCCCACCCCTCAAAATTGCATGCACCATCATATTATTAGTAAATTGATATTTATTAGATTATTGTTGAGGCATCTTAAGTCATGCTATATGCTAATTAAGGAGGCTTTTTTATTTTAAAATGTATTTAGATAATCCCTCTATCAGTGTACTGTTTGTTAATTCATTAAAGAAATGCTAAGTACAAAACAATGGGGCACATTATACATTTATACATACAACTGTTATTAAATTCACTAATTTATCAACTAGCTAGCGTAATTTTTCAAGTCCTTCTGATCCTTATGATAGTTTTATCTTCACACTTATCACTTGTATAATTAATCAATTAATGGTACAACGACCTACTTTATAATTGTATACGTCTAATGACAGGTATCAATCAAATATGAATAAACAATGTAGGATCACAAATTTTTTGTAATTACATTGTTGTGTACATTATTGGAATTCATGGAAGTGACTACTAGACTATCAACAATAATGCAATTGATAAGCAGAATTTTCAAAAATGATGATCATAATAAACCAAGAAATTTAAAAAAATGGAAAAGAAATAAAAATAAATAAATAAAAAACAATGAAACTCATCAGGTGATCAGTCTGTATTACAACTATGTTTAAAGGTTCAAGTGATGTCATATCAAAAGGGTACTTAATATAAAGGGTACGTAACATAACATGTGAGGGTTCATGCATAGTGCTCACATTTCCACAAGATCATCAAACTTTTATTATTTGACTTCTCTGACTTTTTTGTTATGGAATAACTAAGCGTTGACTTCCTCCATATATCTCTTTCTCTAAGTTTTTGCCAAGAAAATTTGGTTTTTGGAGAAAATGAAGGCTAAAGGAGTAAATGAAAGGATAATCAATTGTATATTATTGTGAGTTTAGCCTCTCAATTAAACATAGTAAAAATGTAAAATCATAGGATAACCAATTGATGTGTTGTGAGTGTAGTCTCCCAATCGATTAGAGGTTAGTGTGTATAATATTTAAATTCAATCAAAAAATATTCTTAATTGATTAAAGATGATTAGCGTTTATATATTTGATTTTTATACTAATCAATCGATCAAAAAAATACTATATGTACTTCTTTAATAAAAAAAATTCAATCTATATATTAGAGGAAATGAGTAAGAATAAAAATAAATAAATTTTCAAACCTAATTTTTAAGTAACATGAAACAATTCAACCACTCGTCTAATAACAAAAACAATAGTGTTTGCCAAAAAGAAAAGACCCTATCTAGCTAATTAAAATACCATATCAATTATTAAGCTTAAATAGCTACGTATTCATCAATCACAAGAAGGGACGAAGAAGTGTTGTACAACTGTACAAGACTAGCTACAAGTTTATGTACAGCAACACTATCTAGAATACCATATTTGAGAAACCCTAAGTTAATTCAAAACTTCATGAAGTTACTAAGTCATTATATCTAATAAAATTAAGCTTACTAGCTATTGTTAGGAAAAATATTAAGGAAAATTATTCAGTGTATCCCTGAGGTTTTAAAAATGCACCGTGTACCCCTGAAAACTTTCAAATGCACCGTGTACCCTTTGACTTTTGTGAAAAAATGCACCAAATACCCTGATCAACTAACAAATGCACATATCATTGACTTATTAAACTAAAATCATGCCCAAACACTGACTCCCTTATAGTACTTTACATTTATGCAGTAAAACTGCCTAAAAGCAAAAATTACATCCAAATTTAAACTCCATCGATCATTCTAAATCCTAAACTTTTGGGTGTTAGAATTTGATTTATTAACTAAGTTTACTTGACAATTAAATGGTTTAACATTACATTAGCATTACAAAGTAATAATTTAATAGAATTTGATGCTTAGGGGGTCTCAATCTTATAAAACTACCATTCGTTATGAGTCAAGGGGTATTTGGTGCATCTTTTGCAAACCTTAAGAGTACACGATGCATTTAAAAGTTTTTAAGGGTACACAATGTATTTTTTAAAACCCCAGGGGTACACAGGACAATTTTGCTATTATTAATTTCGTGCATACATATTATTGCACATAGCACAATCAATCAATTTTAACAAATCAATTTATTTTTTTTCATATAGTTCCTATTATACATATATACATATAGCAAAAATCATGTTGTGAGATGAATTTTCATACGTGCTATAAAACTTATAATCGTTATATATATTGTATAGGAAAAACCCTGATCTATCACAAAATGTAATAATCACACCATATTATACTACTAATAAATATCCACAATTGAATGCCAATAATCATAAAGACCAATAAAAGTGGAAAATATCACAAAAGGAGATTAATATATATTCTTATCCTTGACAAAAATTTGAATGGAAAATCATGGCTTACCTCAAAATTATTATAACCAACCAATCACATGTAGGAAGTTTCTTTTTAAGAGCTTAGCTAAAGATTAAAGTATGTGAAGCCAATTCTCATAAATAAAATCAGTAAAAACCAAACAATTCCATACAAAGTCATCACTGTCGTTGTTGCACATGCATGCTCACAAAATCCCCTTTATTTTTATTATTATTGACAGAAATTGCTAAATTAAAGGTCCAACCTTGGAAATTATATTTTAATCTATGGCAAGAATCCTAATAATTTAGCTGTTTGGTCTCAAATGATCAATCTAGTAGTGTTAAAGCAAAAATTGCACGGTTGGATTCAACAAAATCAAATAATTTAATAGATATTTCCTCCGCTTCTTTTATATCGTCCTATATTCAAATTCGCACTTTTTTAATATTGAACAAAATTGTGTAAATAAGAAGAGAAAAGGAGAGAAATAAAGTGGAGAACACATATCAAAAGAGGTGATTCATACGTGGTAAACTTAATCCGTATGTGACTATGCAGTAAACTCTAAGAGACAGTTCAAAATAATATAAATGACAATCTTTAATAAACAAATAATGAAATTATTATTGTACAAATACATGAAAAATATCAAAAATGACAGATTGAATTAAATAAACTAAATTATCTTAGTATGGGTTAGAAGAAGATTGGAGAATTAAAAAAAAATAGAAGAAAAAACAAGGTTGGTATGTACTCGTGGGGACTAGGAAATAGGAGGTAATGAAGAAGAGTTGATAATAAAAGGAGTGATTTTTGTCAATTAGGAATTTGTTTGGTGGCTAAATGATGAACCATGTGTTGGCTAAAACCAACATTTTTGCTTTTAGTGCATTGGGCCCCTTCCTCTAAACTATTCCTTTCGCTGAATATATACTTCGATTTTTAGAGGTTGACATGGGTTTATTACATTTATATTCACACAATTGTATATCAACTTTGGGGGAAAAAACTAAAAAGTATATTTGGCATATTTTTGGCAGTTGTTAAACAACCCAATTTCGGAACGGTAGAAATAAAAATATATGGTAAAATTTCTTGATTAGATGTGTAGAAGTATCTCTTGTTTATAGCGATAGTTTTAGATGATCGTATAGGTAATATATCATATGATTGTTACCAATTAAGTTTAGTGAAGTTAGTGCGTGGAGAACTCATCTTAATTTTGAGGTCACGCGTTTGAGTTCTACCAAGCTATCAACTACAATTGTTTGATAGTAGAAGGTTTTCCTTACCTCCCCCTCTATTATAAAAAATTGTATTACAATAGAGAAACGAATGAATAAAATAGTTGATGGAAGATATGAATACGGCACAATTCTTAAAAGTGATAGTAAATGTATTTAATCAAGGACTTCAACAAGTCAATGCAAAAGAGTCAAAAAGTAACAGTAAAGATCAGTCCAATGGAATAGAGTTTAGTCAAATACTACCATAATGTGTGAAAAGAAGGAAAAAAACATATGCATATTTTTGAAATTTGTGTATTTATTTATTTATATGGGGGATGAAATGTATGTCCTTATTGAACTCCATGAACAACGACCCATAAAGTTGCTTAAACACGCAAAGGAGTTGCTAGTTTATTGTAAGAAAATATGTAATTGTTCCCCATATACATAGTCTCTTTCTAGGAGGATGGATCCCAAGTGGAAATGTACTAACTAATCTAATAAAGCCTTAGTTTATGTATTTTTACGATTTATAAAAACAACTTTCGGTACATAAAATTTTGTTAAGATCTATATCAATCAATTCAATTGTGTCAAATTATGTAGGAAAGGTCTTTCAAAAAATATTATATAGGAAAGGTATGACTTGAGTTGTGAGATAAAATAATTTTGATTTTTAGTAAAATTAATTAACGCTATCTCTACATGTGAAGTTTGAATATAAATGAATCAGATGATAAAGTTTATTCAATTGAAAATAAGGCCGATGAAAATATTTTTTAAAAATTATCTATATTACATAAAGTTGGAACATGCATGCAACCTTTTCAACTAGAGCTAGAGGGGTTGTCAAACAATTTGTAATACTTGTGAGAATGATAATGATTTAAATATTTTGGTGAATGTACACGAAAAAATAACATTGATTGCAATAATCTTGCATAGACGTAATAAATAAAAACTGGATTAAAATAGGAGAAATTGTAAAAAAAAAAAAAAAAAAAAAACCTTATTTGTAAATTTGGAGAGAATATGAAGGGCAGATAGGGAGAGAGGGGCATGTAATGAATAACGATTGGAAAAAAAATTTCCTTCATAAATATTTAAAGAATCATACTCCCAGACCAGCGTTTGAATTTATTGATAACTAATACTCGATTTGTAGTATATGGTCGATCATGAAAAAAAGGAATGAAAATCCATATAAAAAAAATGTTGTATACATATATCCTCAAATCATATTCTAAACAATATATACTTTGTATACTTTATTTATTTACTACTAGCTAACTCAGGCTCAACTAGTAAAAAAAAAAAAAAAACCAAAAGAGCATAATAAAAAATGAAAAGAAATAAACCCACCATGGGGCTCAAACCCACAACCACAAGTTTAAGAGCCTTGCGCTCTACCAACTAAGCTAGACGGGCTTATGCAACTTAGTGTAGATTTGATAGAACTGTTTGTTGAGACGTAACATTCACTAATTCATTGTTTTATGGTATTTTGGGCAATTGGTGTAGTGTGATGTGGCTTGATGGTTGATGCTTACCCTTTACCAACCTTATTGTCCTTATATACGCCATTTGAGTCCTTTTCATATCATTTGCATACATCCAACATTCACTAGGTTATTATTAGCCTAATATATGCCATGAATGCGACTCATATCGTTCATAGAATTGCCTTGATTTTTTTAATTAGTGTATCGCTATCGATTAATAATTAGAGCGAAGCAAACTTGGTTAAGATTCAACGTCGCCACAATTTGGCTCGTGTCAGATGTGAAAACGATTTTAAGCTACTCGTAATTAACACAATGAATATGGATCGAATAAGTAGTGTGTACGTTTGTTTTATCTATTATGACAATTTACGTAGCTTTTATAAGTTATAAAGAATATGAGGTGAATTTTATATTGAGAAATGAGATGACATTTTTTGTCACATGGTTTGAGGTTTTCTCATGCCATAATGTGCTGCAAGCCATATTGGAGTATTTTGAATGTAACCACTTATATGGTTGAAATATACTGATTGACGCGCTTTATATTTCCAAACGTTTTCTCAATTCTATCTCTTTTAGTTTCTTTTAAAAGTACTTGTTCTGTCCAAAAAAAAAGTTAGATTGTTTATTTGGGCCTAAATTTTTTAGTCTGTGGAATGGATAATTATTATGAATTGTTGGTAAACAAAGAAGAAAATCAGGTGGTGACAAGCTGACAACAGACAAACCCAAGCAAAATGATAGGAATTGCAATCGTTTCCTATGGAATAAGGTGGATGAATCTCTTTAGGATTATTAGGTCTCGAAATTAGAAGACTTCGAGATTGGATCATGAGCTAGTCATATGTTAAGATCAGGAGAGCAAGCAATAATTTGTGTTATCAATGTAGTCATACCAATTGCATCAAAGTTAGCCAACAATTCGGCGAATTATTTGAGTTTATTTGGCTTATCGTCAATAATTCTAAGAGAAGCTAAATAAATGCTTAAGAGCAAGGGGGATTGAGCAAAGGAGAAAAGAAAATTACATTTGTGAAAAAATGAAGTTATTTTTTACTATTGTTTCTCTATTATGTTAAAACTTCCCGTTTATAAAAGTTATTCAATTGTAACAATTGATTTAAGGGTGTATTAAACATTGGACATTGCCAACATAGAAGAAGCACCCAACATTCAGTTGATAGCTCCATTCTTATGAGCAAATCATCTCAAATATAATCCCACAAAGTTCGTACACAAAACATGTATAGTGTTGCTAACTAAAATCCATCGGGACATACGACAATTATTCTTCGCACAAATTATTTCCAAACAAGAGCGAAGGACATCTAAATATCTAATCATACAAGTCTGGTCATCAATGCTAATGAATTCGAATAAAAATAAATTCATCTAAAAACCTAGTCATGACCACGTATCAAGTTGAAACTTGTGTAAGGCACAATGCACATAGATCAGACACTATAAAGCTTTACTTGAGTCGAATGTCCTAGAAGCCTAACATCAGGGAAGAAAAGAACCTAGACTTGAGCTCCGAGCTCCAGAAGCAGGGTATGACAGACGGCATTTGATGTAGGACCAACGAATTGAATAGGACCTATATGATGGAAAATATTTAGAACAAACATGACTTGATAAAGGCAATGAGCGCTTGCACTAATATCATGGGACAGTCGTGATAATATTCACAATTCACATTCACAACTTACCCGGACTAATGTACCGATTGTTGATGGCCCAGTCATCTCGCATAGATACAAACTTCTTAAATGGTGCACCTACAATAAGAAAGGAAAATCGATCATTTCCACATAAATTACTGGAATTTTCTAACAATGTAGAAAGCATCTATAAGAAACTCCACTGATAGCATAAAGTGAGATACGCATATTAAGAACACATACCTTCGAGTTCAACCATAGCCTTCTTGATTACAGGCTTGAACTTACCTGCAATTAGAAAAAAATAGAATCAATGTTTGTTATAATTTTTTTTATTTTTTTTATTTTGTTTATTTTAATAACAGCAATTATGAGCAAATTGAAGAAGCATTTGTAAAATAAGGTTGGAAGCTGATAGTGGTCTTTAAGAAAGATGATAATTTTATTTTTTTTTGTTAAAAAAAGGGAGAGCAACTGGAAAATAAACATGTTACACAAATTTGGGGACCTCAACAAAGAAACTGATGCCAATCAAGTACTCCCATAAGTTACATGACAGAAAACACATTGTACACAAACTATCTTCTGGCGCTCCAATGAGAAATTCACAATTGTGTATGACTGAATAACAACCCAGGTCAGGTACAGGGTTTAGGAAGGTCAACATGATGGTTCCTTTCCCTTCTGTTTAAAGAATTCACGACCCTCAAGAGATGACTTAAAGATTGCTTAAATTTTGCTAATATAACCAATCTTTTAGCACAATCTTTGAGGTTGTTACTTTATTCGCCTCGAGATAGCAGGTTATTTAACGAGGGCTCAAAATCTAGTCAATGTAGATTGTAATATGAAAAAACAAAACAAAGTAAAACAAATGTACCATGTCTCCTCTCCACATCCATTAAAGAAGTCAATGCTGTTCCACCAACTGTCCACTCCTCAACAGGTGCATCAAGGTTTCCCACCTACAAAGGAAAAGACAAATAAGGCACAAACATATTGGCATGCACAGCAAAAGGTAAATGATGCATCAACTTTTAATGGGTTTACAGAACAATCGAAAAATTAAAATTTGAAGCAGAACTGAGCTAGTCTTGATTTGCCATACAAATATCTTGGTTAGCCTATTGTTATCAGCCTATGTAAGCACAGAGACAAATACAAATATATGGTAGCTAAGTTAATATGGACAAGAAAAAACAGTGATCATTAAAACTTTTAAAATATATAGTCAGTGTCCAAAATTTGTCAATTAATATCATATAAGAATAACATACTGATGATATCAATCCAGTCCTTCCAGCATGAAGTAGAGCTCCAGCAGCATATCCCAAAGCATAACAATATGAAGAATCAAAATTGGTGGGCAAACCACATCTTCCCTCATATCTGTACACAATAAGAAAACGTTTAGAAAGATATGGTACTAAATATGCAAGCAAGGTAATAAATCAACTTTAATTGAATTATTGAAATATATTGTCAACTTTGACAAGGCTATTAAGAAGGCTAACATGCATATAATATCATCTACAAATCCAACTTGGCTACTTGCCAATTATACTTCACAAGAAAAGCATTAACCAACACTTCTACATTACCACAGTATCCAAGCTCTAATCTCTCAACCAGAATCTATTCTCATCACTAATGACACCAAGAGGCCAGAGTTATCAAATTTATGTCTGTCTCAATCACACAAAAAGAAGTAATCCATACTGACACTAAATTCTCTCTATTTTAAATTAAATGTAACAATTGGTTTTGCTATTATTATACTGCACTCCTGTGAGCATGATATAGATAGAGCTTCCAATTGATGACCTTTCTTTATAACTGCATGTTCTTTAGTTCATACTTTCATAATCTTATTTTGAAAAGCATGGATGTTGCTTTATTCTGATTCATATGATTTTTCTTTAATGAATGCAAGAAGATAGCACGTTTTTTTTTTCTTAGGAATGAAAAGTTTTTCTTGGAGCACTAAGTTATATCCGGGATCATGGTGTGCATTTGTAATGGTGGCTACTTCAAGCTATCCATGATATTAAATATGAGCATACAGGTAATGCAGCATAACTGCATTCATATGCAAGCACTGCATAAAAGACAGAAACTTTTCTGTCTTCGCATTCATTCTATTTAACTGATAGTCCAGTTCTCATACATAATATCTATCTACAATCAAATAAGAAGGCTTGTTGTACATGCATATTCAGCAATTGGCATGTAAAATGATGGATAAGAACCCAAAGGAACAAGAAAGTTCTGCAAATTATGTGCAACGAGTTTCTCATTGTCAATATGTGACTCGAATATCGCTATCATCTACCCCTAATTTTCCAAAACTTAGTAAAATCAATGAGAACTAGAAATATATTCCATGCTAGCTTAGTGATAATTACCCGAAAAAGTGAGATTGCCCTTTGAAATCCCCCTTGTATACACCTTGTTCCCTCCTCTTCTCCAGCTCAGTCTCAACCATCTGGATAAGCATCTTTTCTGTTTCTATTTTGGCAACCTACAACAAAAGCAACCAGAATAATTTACTGCACACAAATGCCAGAAATTGGCAATTCCATCAACATATAACCTACGAGGTGATGCACTCACCTGGACATTTCCATGAGGATCTCGCTCAAGCATTAGTTGCTCCTGAATGGCTTGTGGTAGAAATTCAAAAAGTTCCAAAGACTGAGATGTCAATTTCTTCTTCCATAGACCAGCTTCATCGACAGCTTCATGGGCCAATATCTCATTTAGCTCACCAATAAGCTTTTGAACCTGTAAATTCACGAAAACAAAGTATTACTACTAGGATATGTGACTGATAATGAATGTTATACTACCCCAACAGAGTATAGAGCAACTCCTAACAGACTAGCTTTGTACCTCAGGGATAAAATCAATCAAGCCTTCTGGTATCAATATGACACCGTAATTGTAGCCACGTTCAGCCCGTTTGCAGATTATGTCTACCATGTAATCTGTCACATTTTTCAAGGTCTGTTTCTTGGCATAAACCTGCAGTAAAATTTTAAGTTAGGATTCAATTCTTGACATGGAAACAAGCATTCTGGGTTTGTTGGGGGGGGGGGGGTTCATTAGGCATTAATTCTTGGGTAACTCAAGGCTGGAACTTGCAAATGCTCTTTCCTGTTTGGTAACAAAGCATTGTAACTATTTAAAGAATGAAATTTAAACGTTACGTTATCTAGAAAGAAATTTAGAGCTTAAATTTCACTCATATAACACAGTATGAGCTACACCGATAATAAGCACTTAATTTAACAGACTTTAAAGATCAACTGATAGCAAGGTACCTCTTCTCCAATAAGAGAAATGTTTGGGTGAGTCTGCAGAGCACACTCCAAGGTGATGTGTGAAGCTGCACGACCCATCAGCCGCACAACTGGATAGGCAAACAGGAAGGGAAAAAAAAAAACAAAATTAGACATGTTCTTGCAGTGTCTCACCAGACAAGTCAATGACCTACATACAGGACAGAAAAGAAACATCAAACAGAGAAATGATCTTGTAATCCTTGTACTTACAGTGATAGTACTTTCCAGTTGAACGAGCATCAATCATAACATTTCCAATCATTTCAGCATAAATCTGCATAGAATAATGTTGTGTAAATGTACACACCAAAATATAAATTGCACCATAATCCTAAGCCTGAGGAATAAACGTGCTAAAGACAAAGGGCATACTAAGGAAGAAACAAAAGTGTTTCTTGCTGCCTCTTAAACTCACCTTGCAAGCAGTATCAAACCCAAAGCTTATTGGGACTTCTTTGGATTTCAAATCACCATCAATGGTCTTTGGGCAGCCAATGACACGAGTCTTCAAATTTTTACTCCTGTTCAATACACCAAAGGAATAGGTTTACAGGATACAATTATATTCCAGTTAGAAACCAAAATGTCTGGCATAATAAACAATTGCTGCAACTGTCAACAAGAAGTTGGCTAGTTTTCTTAGGTCATGGCTGAAATAAATTGATCCTAACATAGCTAACACAAACATATTCCATAACTTACAAATTTTTTCTATACCTGAAGTTCTCAGCAAGAAGGCAAGCATTGGTATTTGAGTCATCTCCACCAATAACAACAAGCCCATCCAAATCTAGTTTCAGGGCTGTCTCTTCTGCTTGTTTGAACTAAAATCACCCAAATCGTTACCAAATAGTCAGTATTCAGAATGAAACAGCAAGCCAACAAAGATGGGAAGTACAAAGAAGAAAAAGGAGCTACTTGCCTGTTCTGGAGTTTCAATCTTGTCTCTACCACTACAAATCATGTCAAACCCACCCTGAACAAAAAATTAATAACGCTGATAAAATACCAACATTATAATACAAATTATTTAAATTAATTAATAGATTATACTTCCTCTATTTCTTTTTAGTTGCAACATTTTAACTTTTGCACAAAGCACATACTCAACCATGACTAGTTTTGATGATTTATTATTAAGGAAAAATAGAATCATGCGAGATCTTGTTAGATTTGCCTCAATTTATTCTTTCATAATATCAAATTTTTACAAATTGACAATTAAAGATATTAATGGTTGAAATAATGCATTGACAAGCATGAAATGAAAAGTGAAGTAAGGAAAAAGAAATATAGGAAGTAATGAAGTATATATTGAGAGCAACATGCATATCTGGAAAAAGTTTCCTCATTTCCAACTTCTTTTGATCGGCATTCAATGACACCTTTTAACAAAGACTAAACAATTCCAATATATGAGAAGCACATTTGCACATTCCAGTTGAGTTCACATGTGATTAAGATAATATCGTTCACTAACAGATATGTAAGAAATCATCAATCATTTACATTTAAAAAGTTAAAGGAACCTACAAAATCATGAAAGCCACTTGGGCTCCAAAATATTCTAAGCAGAAGATTTGAGCACTCTCACTTGACCTAAATGGAACATAGACCAACTGTAAAAGGATTGGGAGCTTTCTATTTCAGTAATGGATCTCCTATTTTAGCTTCAAATGGATTGAGACCCAACATATTTTCTGGACCCTTTCAGGTTAGTTAGGTACTCACATTCCTAGGCTATCAACAACAACAACAAAGACCCAAAATGATTTGGGGTCAGCTAACATGAATCGTCATAAGGAATCGTACGATATAAAGAAACAGACATAACAAGACCATCATTTAAGAGAGTTTGAAAAAAGGTGAGTAAAGTGAGTAAACGAAAGAGCGTTCAAGAAAAATTAAGGGAGTTTTAAAAGAAAACCAAGAATAAAATTCAAGAAAGTTGAAAATATAAGGTTTGAGAAAACTTTAGCAAAGGAAAACAATACAGTTCCTAGGCTATAGGCACAAAAATATTCAAGTAGGCAACAAATTCTATAATAAATGGATAATGATACCTGTAAATTTTGGCTCAAGTGCTCAACGGCCAAAATACAAAGTACTAGCAGTTCCTACAGAAGACTCCAGGCACTTGCCTCTATTACATTTGGATGTAATTATGTAAATGATTGCGTAATAGCTTAGTGTTACCATAAGACTAACCCACATTCCTTGCAAGCACATTCTATGTTGGCAATTGGCAAAAATTCTGTAGACCTTTAATTTCTCCAAGTGATTAAATGACCTACATTCTTGACAAACTTATTTTGGGTTTTCTTGCTCGGAAAATTTATCTTACGATAAAAGCTCTTTTCTTTGTGTTGAGTACTTGAGTGACAAGAATAGTCCCTCCAATAAAAGCTCAAGAATTATATAAAAAAAATTTATAAAGGAAAAAAGAAGAAGAAAAAGATGAAGGACAAAGAAACTGCCGAATCTCATTGAGCAAATTTCTTTCCAGCCTTTGTGTTTTGCCCATGGAATGAAATATATGTGGAACAAAAATCAAACAAGAACTGCAATGTAATGACATTCAGCAATCAGCTTACAAGACAAATAAGCTTAATGGGCCCCCATTATTCAATTGTCAGCATCGTCCATATCTTAGAATTCATTTATTCTGGGGGACACCAGTTGTATGGGGTTGGACTTTTGAGACAATGTTAGGAGTTCATAGCAAGTTGTAGGTCGGAACACTTCTGTAAACTAGGTTGAACAAACAGGTGCTTCTAACAACCATAGAAGATTATGTGTTAGTGATACAATGTTAGCAGTTCATTGCGAGTTGTAGGTTGGTGAACAATTCCGCAAACCAGTTTAGATTTAAAAGTTCTACTAACTTAGATGATCATATATCACACATATCAGTGAAAGAATTACCCAAAAAAATAAAAAAATAAAAAATAAAAACAGACTTCCCATTTTCTATCCAAAGGATGATTGCTTACTGAACCAAACAAAAAATTACTTTCAAAGTTTAGCCCACTGTAATCACTTGCATTCCTCAACAAACCTTACCTGATTTCTGTAAGGATGGACAAAGTCCCAGGTCAACTCTACATATTTGCCCTTCATGATCCCAGCAGGACCACCCCTGAATCCATACATTACACTGCCCTTAGCACGAGCTTGCAAATAATCTGCCACCAAATAACAAGCACACACACACATACAAAAACAAATCAATCAATAACATCATTAAATTTCGCTTAGTTGAATAAAAATCCAATAAAATGCCAAAGTAATGCATTATTCTAAAAAGGTGAGCCACATACCAAAAATCCCACAAATGACATTGTGACCTCCTGGTGCTTGTCCTCCAGACAATACAACACCAATTTTGAGCTTCTGGTCTGATGCCAGTCCCTCAGTGTCACTCGGTACCATTACCGATGATGGTTGTCCAAACAAGCTAGGAAAAAGCTTCGCGATCTCATCTACAAACACACACAATATAATCACAACCATGCTCCGTAAAAATTAAAGAAACAGCAATGTAATAAATTCATTCCTCCAAATAGTTTAATTTTATTTCATGCACATTGAACTCAAAAACACAAAAAGTATCACACTTTATTAAGAATCTAAAATTAATTCATCGATTAAAAGCCATATGACACCTACAATAATTGAAAGTATTACATTATACAATTAAATCCACATCAAATATTCTCGAAAACTTTTAAAGCAAAAAACTTTTCAAGAATATTCCCAATCAAACAAACGGATCCAAAAAAAATAAAAAGAAATTAAATATCAGACATTATAGAGAAAGCTTCGGATCCTACATTTTCCAGATTAAATTTTCAGTACTAAGCATTCAAATCATAATCAAATTGAATCCTTCAGTTCACTCGATTAGGTAAAAGTGTCAAAACTTCAAGCATTCAAAATATGATCAAATTTCATCATCCTACAATTCCTATAATCGATCCAAAAATATGCAACAAAAATCATAACCTTAATCAATACGAAACAAAAATTCACAATTTTTTTTTAAAAAAATCAATAATTTGATCTACTTCGAATTAATCAAGACCAAAAGATAAAGAGAGAGAAAAACCAGGATTTCCGGCAGCAGAACTATTGGGACCATTAACGACGGTGAAATTTCCGGTGAGAACACTAGGAAGAGGAAGAGAGTGATCGATGCGACTCCTCTGAAGTTCACTGTAAACCGCCGAGAATCTTCCGGCAACCGGAGTAGATTTTCCGGTGGAGAAATCGCCGTTAGCAACTGCTACTGCCGCCATTGTTAGGGTTTGATTGGATTGATTTCTGAGAATTGAATTGAGTATTTTGAGTTCACTTGATTAACAAGAAATAAGCAATTTTCTCTCTCCTAATATAAATAAAGAGGGAAAAAGAGTTGGTGAAGAGGGTAGATTTGCGGCTTCGAGGTTTCCGCCCGCAACTATGCAAGTGAGTGAAAGACGGTCGTTGTTGGTGGAATTGTTTGTGACTTATGTGGACTAGAGGCCAAATATTTTGTGCAACCGTTGTAAATTGATTGACCGATTTGTAAAACTAAAATGTATTTGTGTATAAGATTGAGATTACGGGTTATATGGAGGAGTAAATGAGTCGATATGTTTCCAAACACCTTGCAAATAAGTTTGGTCAAATACTTGTCATTGCCTGGTCAAATTTTGTTCATTAGGTAATTGAACAAAATTTTTAAGGCTCGTTTACTAAACAGGCTTACTTGAACAATGTCGCGGTTGACTCGTTAGTATTTTTCAATATCTTGCTTATTAATCACTAAAGATTGGTTTATCCTTGTATTATACAGAGTAACTAAACAATTACGTTACTCCCTTCGTCCCAGAATATCTAGGATATTGGACTTTTTCACTATTTATGTATTATTTTTGACCATAATTTTTTATTAACATAATAAAAATACATTTTATTATAAAATTTGTTGTTATATAGGTATTAATATAAAGTTTCATAATATAATTTTTAAAAATAATTTTCATTAATATTTAATTATATAAAAATAGAGAGTGAAGGATAGCTCAAGTGATTAGGACTTCCCTCCCGATTTCAGGAGATCCTGGGAACGATTCTCACCGCCGCCCTTGTGGCTCTCTAAACACCAAAAAAAAAATTATATAAAAATAAAGTCAAACTAGTATATTGGCGTGTGTACAATGTTGACAATGTCAGATATTCTGGGACAGGGGGAATATTATATTATGATTCTTTAAAATAAAATAGAATCGCAATAGTCAATCAAGATTTTCTATTTTGTCAAGTAGCCAATCAAATCCTAATTCATATGCCAAATTGACAATCTCCTCTTCTTAAGCAACAAGACCTTTTCAACCTTGTTAGACTTTTAAATATAGTTACTTCATGATAGCTCTTAAAATCTTATTGCCATGATAATTACCCACGAAGTTAAGAATTATACAATTAATCTCAAAAATTATGTAGGAGTTGTATAGTAGTCTTAAACTCATAGCTTACTATAGTTAACTTTGCATGATCTTCAAGCAAGGCAAAAGCAATCAGATCGAGACGAGTAATTTCACGATATTATTGTTTCTTCGAAGTAAAATTACAGGTATAGAGAATCTCCTTGAAAAAAGTATGTCTACCATTAATGGTAAATCAATATTAATCGAAGAGGAAGTGACGAGTAAATCATATAAAGTTAGGAATGAAGAGTTTTTTTTTTCTTTTTTTTAGGCCAACTTTTTAGATAATGAGGGGTTGGAAGAGTTGTGATTAAGCTCTTCTACCTCTTGAAGTTTACTCAAGGTTGGATGTATCATGTATGATCCTCATTTCTACATAATCCTATAGTCTTTCATATATTTTTGAGATAGGACAACCTAAGCAATTCTTGCACTTTGTTTGGATTGAGAGAATTGGAGGGAAAGGAAGAGAAGAGAAAAGGAGGGAACATCCTCCCTTGTTTGGATACCAATTGGTAGAAGGGAAGGGAAGAGAAGAGAAATGGAAAGATCCATTTTCCCTTCTCGCTTCTTTATTAAACCAAATCTTTTCAATGATGTTGATCAGATTTTGAGAGAAAATGTAAACTTACCTTCTCCCTTCCCTTCCTTTCCTACTCGTTCCTTCTTTTTCCCTCTCTTTCCACTTTGCTATCCAACTAACCATTGGTCTTTGCCTCTTTGGAGACACAAATTATCCCTGATGGAGGCCCCTTAGCTCCCTAGTCCCTAGCTAGTCCATATATACTTCTAACTTTAATAAATAACCTAGCTATTTACTATAATTACACATTAGATGTTTAAGTATGTTTAAACAATTGTTAAATTTGGTCTTTTATATATATAAAAATGTCTTGGAAACGCATGCATGAAATCAAACATGAAGTGAACTAAAAAAATTGGTTTTGAAGTTGATTTCACGATTTTTAAGCAATCAAACATATGACCAAGCTTCTCCCCAATTTATTTGATTTCCAAGAAGCATGAAGAGTATGACTAAATTGTCCCAAGAAAAGTGTATATAACACTAATTAAATAATTATCTTAGGGTCATTAAAATTTTTAGTTAATAATTGTATTGATTAGTGGAACAAAGAGTTATTAATTTTGGCTTACAGATTTGGTATGTAGCTTAGAAATTCCATCACGTATATAAGATTGGATGCATGGGTAATTTGCAAGGCATGCCATAAAATGCTTACACTTCAAGTGCATCTCATTATAGTAAACTTTATCCAAAATTTTCCATCAATATTAATGCATACCATCACGTACAATTTTCAAAATTATTTTCTTTCTTCTCCGTACATTATCACAAAAATGATTACTCTCAAATATGCATCATTTGTCTTGTTAATTTCCGTCGGTTTATCCTTAACGACGACTAATTACCTTACTAATTCTCCCTTACTACCATCCTTCAAACACGCCGATAAATACAACCCTAGCTTGAAATTAAGCCATCATAAGCATCATCATGAACATCGTCGTCATCACCATAAAGATAACAATAATCATCATCACAAAGATCATAATCAAAATGTGACTGTTAATGTTTGCGATGATTTTCCACCGGATTTTCCTCCTCCAAATACGGATACCACATCAATTTTATGTGTTGATAGTAAAGGATGTTGTAACTACACAACGGTTCAATCTGCTGTTGATGATGCTCCTCTTCTTAGCCAAAAAAGAATCATTATATGGATTAACTCAGGCTTATACTAGTAAGTTTAATGTTTTCAAAGTATTTTATCATCAATTTTATCATATAGTGTTGTGGTTGCTGGGTGCAACACATAACAACATATTTGTAAACGCGTTATTTTGACCAATAATATAATATCTTAATCAGCAATAAGTTAACGTATGAAAAGTTGTTATTCAAAAACTATACATTGAGAAGACTAGAGTCTAACAAGTACTTATACCACTATTTTTAATTATATGTACCTAAAACATAAACATTGGCCAAAGTGGTATACGTGAGTAGTGTAAAAGTCAAATTAAGACACTTATAAAAATGGAGGGAGATGATAGTTGAGTCATCAATGGTAAATCAGTTAAACTAAATTATTTTGAAACGGAGATAATACATACAAAGTATAAGCATATACGAAGCATGTTTTTTTGGGAGGTGAAAGTATTGTGTTGATGGGTTGTTATTGAACCTCGATCAGTGAAAAGGTGACGATTCCGAGAAGCAAACCAAACATCACCTTCCAAGGGCAAGGGTACACCTCGACCGCCATTGTATGGAATGATACGGCTTCTTCTGCACACGGCACTTTCTCTAGTGGTTCAGTTCAAGTATTTGCTTCTAACTTCATTGCTAAGAACATTAGTTTCATGGTAAGACTGTATAAATATATATTCCCTCCGTTTTTTTTTTATAAGCTAGAGTTGGAAAATTCCACTATTCATAGGTCATCATTGACTTAATTTTTTTACCAATATATAATATATATAATGTTTCGGGGTTTTCTGATGTCCTGCGGGAGAGTTACAATTCCGAGACTGGAACCGGACGCCTGTACCTGCAAAACAAACGGATGCTCCGGATGATTGGAGATCCGCCTCCGACGGTCAAGTTAGTACTTGATTAAGGAGTAATTAATGCGGAAATTAAAGTGATTGGGTCTCTCTAAGTGAGAGAGTTTAATGTGTGTAATCTGCGCTTTTTTTCTTAATGAGGATTAAGGGAGGTATTTATAACCTCGGGAAACGTGCCAATCTAGGTTTAGGTTAACCTTGGGCTGATTGGGCTTCCCTCGGAAGTTGGGCCTTGGTGACCAGTTATCCCAGGTGTCATGGGAAGGATACGTGTCGTGTCGTAATTGGTCCATAGTGGACGGATCATTGCTTGACATGTGGCAGGCTCCTATTGGCCCATGTGACGGACACATGGCGGAACCTGATTGGTCCACTTGTCAGATGGTGATTGGTGGGAAAAATCCCCTAATCATATAATATGTTGTTGGATTTGTCATAGTGTCTACTTTTATAAATTATTTTTTTCATAATTTTTACTAACCTCTAATTAAAGATATTAATGGTCAAAGTTGTGTCTTGACAAATGTGCAAATCCAACTCTATCTTAAAAAAAAAAAAAAAAAAAAAAAAAAAAAACAGAGGGAGTAATATACGTACTCATCCCTTAACTTATGCTACAATAATATAATGTAACACCAAGTTGTTTTATTGTATAGAATGTTGCTCCAATACCTGCTCCTGGTGCTGTAGGAGCACAAGCTGTGGCTATTAGAGTCGGAGGAGATCAAGCCACCTTTTGGGGTTGCGGTTTTTTTGGAGCACAGGACACGCTACATGATGATCGAGGCCGCCATTACTTTAAGGATTGTTACATCCAAGGTTCCATTGATTTCATCTTTGGCAATGGAAGATCATTCTATGAGGTAATGTTTTTGTAATTAGAACCGTATAAGTTGCTAATAAACATCCTATTATTGTTTTTGAAACAGAATAAACATCCTATTATTACTAAGACTAGCTACTATTTTTCCTAATAATTATCTTTCAACTTACTCTATCGATCCCACCTTATTGTCGCCCTAAAGCATCAACTAACTTCAACTTGATGTATAGTACTAGTACATCAGTACATGCACACTAAGAAAAAACATGTAAATAAAATTTTGTAACCATTTTCCTAATATATATGAGCATCGACTCACAGATGTCTAATTTACACATAGAATGTATCTAATGATTTACGTTCAAAATTATTGGTTCAGAATTGTGCAATGATCTCCATAGCAAGCCCGGTTCCACCAGGCCAAAAAAACATAAACGGAGTTGTAACAGCGAGTGGAAGAGCTTCACAAGACGAAAATTCGGGGTTTGTATTCTACAATTGTAGCATTGGAGGCACAGGAAGAATTTGGCTTGGACGTGCATGGCGTTCGTTCTCACGTGTACTTTTTGCTTACACCACCATGTCTGATATTATTGCTCCCGAGGGTTGGAATGACTTGAACAACCCCAACAACGACCAGTAAGAAGTTTATTAATTGGCAATCTCTTTCGCTTATTTAATACTCGTATGATTGATTAGCGAGGGCAACTTAATTGTTAGCTACTTTTGGAAACAACTGCCTACGTAACAATTTTAATTAACCTTAGACTAACACTACCCATGTAAAATGTTTCGTTGCAGGACGGTGTTCTATGGGGAATATATGTGTTCGGGACCAGGCGCTAGTATGAGTGCAAGGGTGGCTTACGAGCAAAAGCTTAATGAAACTGTAGTGGCTCCTTTCCTTACCATGACATACATTGACGCAGATCAATGGTTGGACTCTTATACTACTAATCTTGTCGTCCATTCTACTAAACCTTTAATTTAATCTTGTGAAATTAATCTATAGGGGATGATGATGAACATGTTAAATTACTAGTTGTATATATTTTGAGGATTGTTGAAATTGTAAAATTGGATATAATCCCCCAACTTAAATGATTCTTTATTACTCCAGTTTTATATCATTTAAAATCATAATTATATTTTGGGTAATTGATCCCGACAGTGTATGTTTTACACATTTTCAAAACTGTATCAAGTATCAACTAAACTAGGCGATATACACGTTTCTCCAAGCTTCTGAACGAAGGAATAAAATCTTTAAACATATTACATATATGTGTGACGTGCAGACGTGGTTTATCCTATCAACCAATAAAGATTGAAGGTAGAGTACCTAATGAAGGACACTCTACCTTACACTGATGGTAGTGATTATGATAATATTGTTTATAATTATGGAGAGATGGTGTTCAATTAGGGAACCAAATCAAACAAAAAAGGAGGGATATCAGGGCTTTGCTAATTACATCACATGCTAAGTACTTTGTGATTGCATCAATTTCTTCTACTTCTTGTGCAATAGACTGAAGTCTAAGTCTATAACTACTATACTCATATTTAACCCAAAAAAATAAGGTTTTATTATCCACTACTCTTTTTTTTGCTGTCCAAAACACTTAAAGCACATGTACTTAAATTACAAGCTGTTTTTCTTCTTTTGTCAGATTTCTCATAATTAGTTTCATCTTGCTACTTACAATTATTTTATTTTCAGGTAAGCCTTTAATACTACTCCAGCTTATGATGTTCTCTTCATCTTAATTTCACTTATTTTAAGTCTAATGAATAAATATGGATAATGTAAGTCATTCACTGCTTACAAGTTTAAGAGTTCATGCCAAATACTAGTAAGTTCAAAGATTCTGTTATAAGGGTTTAGGACTTTATTCTCCTCCACTACCTTGATTTCACTTATTTATTTCAGGTCTAATAAATTCAAGGCAGATTAGTTTATAGTCAATAAGTTCAAATAAGATAAATTTAAGTGCAAATAAGATAAGTGTGTAACTAATAAATTCAAATATATGTGTTCAAGCCTAATAAATTCAGGTAAGATAGATAAGTGAAATTCAAGCGAAAAGAACTCTATCCTATATAGGTTGATCTCTAAGAGTCTGAGGAAAAGTTTTGCTTAGTTTATGTTTCAACAAATTAATCAAATAAGGAAGTCCTGTTTCATTGAATCTGCACCTACTCCTGGCCTTCAAAATTTCAGTTGCTTATACTAAAAATCATTAATTTCCCCTTTTTATTCATTTTTTTGGTTTTTTTTCTCAATACCTGAATCCATCCTGATTATCATAAAGTCAGATAATTATGTGACAGGATTTGTTGCTAATATATATCAAGTGCTTTATATGCATGTGATTAGTTTCAAGTTTCCTAAAACAAGAAGCAAAAGCCTTGTTTCAATGAATCTGCAACCTCTTAAGCCTACCACCCTCTCCCCCACCCTTTTGCATTGTGCTCTATTTGACCTACCAAAAGTTTTGTAGGTAAGCCAATAATAGATAGAGCATGGGAGATTACTATTTGATCCAAAGTTGGTGGTTCATTATCAATTCGTCATCAAGGAATAAGGATTAGATTATATACATAATCTTATTGCAAAAACCGCGAATGCTAATTACGTACTATTATATGACACCTAGATTTAATTTACTCAAGCATAGAAGATTACTCACGTACGGATCATAAACACACTTAATATGTCGAAGTGTCTCAAAATGAGGAAGTCTTGATCCAAAATTAGCACTTTAGCGTTCTTTTGTTGTTTAGGAAAAGTAAGTTTGATTTAGAACGGAAAAAAAAATAAGTTGGAGAGAATAAATCATTAGAGATTTTATCTGGTAGTGAATCCTTAGCTTTAACGACTACCAATTCTATATTGGCCATCTAACATAACGAGCACACAAAACTATGTACAAGCCATGATAAGTACATACACAAGCACATATTTTCAATCACCTAAAATAAGATTAAACTAAAGAAGCATGGCATATTGACATGTAAAGTAAATCAAGCCTAACCTATAACCATCATATTCAGCATTACAAGCCTACTAAGATGAAAACTAAAACAGATGGAAAACTAAAATTCTTTCAGAAAAAAAAAAAGATGAAAACTAAAACAGGGTCCCCTGTTCTAGTAGCAATAGATCAATTTTTTCCAGCAAAGTGCCAACTAATGTAAAGGTACAAAGGTTCAGATAATCACATTAAAAGGTAAACAAGACATCATAATCACATTATTAAATAATACTCAAATGTGCAATAATATAATCATGCAAATAAAAATATTCAGTGTTTCCTGTATGCCCTCCTGATACTCCTCGATATCCTGAGAATCAGAAGTTAGAACACAATAATAATTAGCCAGACCCCACTTGCCATATATTGCTAATTAAGTCAATAATTATGTAATTAACATTATACTCTACTTAGAAACTTAGGAGTATTGTGTCACAATAAAATGCAAGGGAGGAGCAACAGGTTTAAGGGTACAGGAGGGTGCAGGGCTTTATGCTGTACTAGCTGCAGAACATCAACAGAAAGTGGCGAAAGCTCTGGATCGTCAGACAGGTACGCATCAATCTCAAGCCTCGCGCATCACATGGTTCAAGAGAGAATAGATCAAATGATTAAGGAAAACGAGGAAGAGCAAGCAAGAAGATTAATGGAAGCAAGAAAAAGGAAGCAAAAGAAGGTAGTAAAAAATGTTACAACTAGCAATAGCAGTAGCAGCAGCAGCAGCAGCAGCAACAGAAAGTTGCTTCTGATGCTTGCTATGGAGAAATCATCTCATGATCCAAGGGAAGATTTTAGGCGCTCCATGGTGGAAGTTATACTAGCAAACCGTATAAAAGAGCCAAATGATCTCCGGTATCTATTGAAGTGTTACATTTCGATGAACTCTGTCGAGTATAGAGGGATTATACTAGAGGCCTTCTACCAGGTTTGTACTGATATTTTCTTTTGCTGTAAATGCCACTAATGAAATCATATTTTAGACAATCATACCTTTCATGTTGGCACCTTAAAGATGTGAATCCCTAATGAAATTGAATTACAGCAGGAGCAAACAAATTCTTGCTCGATTTTTAATGAAAATCAGTACTTCATGTTACCTGCATTGGCTGCATACAACACTGTTAGTCTTAACATTATCAATCATGTAGTGGAATTTGGAGTAGTGTTACCTGCAATGGAAGAAGGGTGGAGTAGTTCATTCAAACATAAAAGTAACTAGGTAAAACTTCCTGCATATGTCACTATTTTTATAAGCAAAGTGTGTAGAGTCTATAGTATTAATGTCTATTGATAGCAGTAGTAGTATATGCTAAACTGATTCAGAAGTACTGTAACGATTCAAAGTAAAATTAGGAGGATTTTTATTCATATACTAGGAGTATCAAGCTCATAAGCAGTAGACTTCATATTTTCTAGCAGTCATACTGAGTAAACTGAGTAGTTCGAAGAATATTAAAATAAAAGTTGCCAAATTTAAAGTTGCTAGACTGTTTTAGTGCAATTAAAAGAGCCTTAAAAATGTTTCTATGACTCCATGAATATCAGCAAGTAGCCAGCTTGCATTCGTCGTACCACTGGTACCTTATTCAGGCATGTATTATGATGAAGCACCGTATCCAAGATCAAATAGAACTCTACTCAGGATTTATGTTTATTACTTACTCTCCTAGGACATTATGTCATACTATACGAGACAATCACAACTTTCGATTTACAGATCCATGAGAAAATATACAAATCTTGAAATGGAGACGTAAGACTTACAAATACAGAGCAATACTAACTTGTACTCCTGTAGACTTAAGTATAACATGGAAGTTGCATTCTCTCCGTCCTAAATTTAGTTGCCACATTACTAGTAGCAATTATACGAGTGTGACAATTGATTCTTAACGTTAGAAACAGATATTATTTGTGGTATTCTTGGATTTCTTATATTTTACAGAATTTTACTGTATATCATCACTGAAAGCATATTACATCATCTTTTTGATACAGTATTTGAACTACAATATACAAGTGGCAATACACCTTTCTTACCATTCTGTATATTATTTGCACCAATAACTGGTGGTTTTATTGTGACAACCTAGTATAAACCCCCATCTAGATCGCAGTATATACTAATTAAGGGGTATTAAGCTTCATTTAGGGAGACAAGAGAAGACTGCCTTCCTTAATGAATACAAACACACTGCCTGCATCACCCCTTGAGATTCGAAGCTCTTGATCGAGGTAGGTGGTAAGCAACCATGAGCCTTCATTTTGACCAATGTTGAATTTTAACGGTGGTTGGCTGGAAATTGTCCTTGCAACTGATGAAGCGGTGTCCTGTACTGAGTTAAACAGGCCCTTCAAAGGTGTGAGATCGATATTTTGCCCCAGAAACTCTACATTCTCGGGTAAAACTACACTGTCTGTTATCTGAGGAGTGCCAATGACTCCTTCAATAAATTTGATCTGCAAGGGATGATGGAGCATTTAGATCTAAGCAATTTTTAAAATGAAACAATTACACCAACAAAAAATTTTAAAAGTAATATCAAATGCAGAAAAATTAATAAGTACAATAGGTCGATAGGATTCAGGAATAACTGAATATCAAATGGTAAATTTGAATCGAACTTTGTGAGATCAGTTCTATTCCAACTTGTTCTTTATAAATTTTCATTCACTTCTAGAGATGGTATTGAGTCAATTGATTCCATTGAATATTAATGAAAGAAGCAGACAAGCATTGCTATGGACAATGGAGAGTTTCCTTTCAAAATTACATATAACTCATTACCACAACTTATTGTCTGCGAAACAAGACTTCACTACAAATATTGCAAATTAAGAGTGAACGATCAACAATAATCTGTAACCAAATGTTAGGGAATAATGAATACCAGTGGAACTAGGATACTTTACTAGATATACATGGAAGGGAAACAGGCAAGATTAGTGAAATCATGGCTTTACCAAGTATATGATCTAGATTACCCGTGCATCTTCCGCCACAGAGTCCCAAACACAATGTCTACCTCAGAATGAGCTATTCTTAATTCAAAATTTCTCAATCAGCAGCTATATCCCAGATTCATCAAACTCTTCATTTGTCTTCCACC